AAAAATGCAGATTCAAGAGATACTTAGGAGGCCAAGTCAATAAGGCTGCTAAGTATTTGGACATGGGAGGTGACGAAAAGAGAGGAGTCCTCGTTCACGCCCAGATTTCTGACCTCAGTAACTGGGTGGATGGGGGGTGGCGCCATCCACTAAGACAAAGACGTCAGGAAGAGGAGATGTCGGAGACGCGAGGTGATGATTTCGTTTTGGTAAGTTGAATTTAAAGTGACTCTGAAACATCCAATTGAATGATTCCTGTAGGCAGCTGGATGGAGATCTGGGTCAAAGATACAGATCTGAGCCACCACATACAATTAATTCATAGTTGAAACCAGGGACATGGACGGATAACCCAGAGAGAGAATGCAGAGTGAGAAAAGATGAGGGACGAGGGCTGAATCCTGGGGAACACCAATGATTAAGTGAGGGATAGAGAAAGGGGAACATGCAAAGAGACTAGAGAACAGGCAGCCAGAGAATTTGGAAGGAAACCAAGATAGAATTTTGTTCTTTAAACTACGGGGGAGGGAGTTTAAAGAAAGAAAAAATGGGGACGCCTGGGTGGCACAGTCTGTTAAGCATCCGACTCTTGGTTTTGGCTCAGGTCGTGATCTCAGGGTCTTGAGATCAGCTCCACAATCGGCATGCTTGGGATTCTCTCTCCCTCTCCCTCTCCCTCTTCCCCTCCCCTCCCCTCCCCTTCTGGCATGTGCACATGTGCTCTCTCTCTTTGTGTCTCTAAAAAAAAAAAGAAAGAAAAATGGTGAATGAGTGTCAAATGATTGCATAATGATTTGGAGTTGGACAGACGTGGGTGTGAAGCCTGACTTTGCTACTCACTAGCAATGACCCCTTGGACTCATCACTAGAACTTTATAAGTGTTTGTAAAAGAAGGTTAATAATATTACTTATCTAATAGTAATAGATAAGAGTAGTAATCTAAGAGTTATTTTGAGGATTCAGTTGGATAATGTATATAAAAAAACTGTTTGTGTAGTGCCTGGCACATAATAAACTGTCACTATAAGCTGGTTACTAAAAAGAAGAAAAATAGGCACTGAAAAGGAGCCATTCAATTTAAAACTTGACCACACTATAGTGATTTCAGAGAGGCCATGAGGATGTAAATCTAAATGAAATACATTGAAGAGTGTATGTGAGGTGAAAAAGTAGCCAATGATCTTGGCAATAAAGATGAGAAATTAGGTGTGCCAGAGAAAAATAAGGAACTGAGCATAAGACTTCCTCACCATCCAATTTTTCTTTTTAAATAGAAGGGGGACTCTTGTATGTTGCTAGGCTTTGGGGAACAGTTATAGAAAGACAAGTTTAAAATACAAGGGACTGAACATCACCACTATTTCAGTCTTTGAGACACAACTTTGCACACTTTCTACCTTTGTACAAACTTTCTACCATTTTGTTCCTGTTCCAAACCCTTCGAGGAATCCCTATTGTCTAAACAATATTATTCAAACGCCTTCCCAACATCCAAGGTCTTCCACCTTGAATTCTTGATTCTTGCTCCCACCTACTTTTACAATGTTCTCTCTTTCTCTAACCTGGGGACCCCTCCAGTTGAATTTCTCTCCTCACCCCTTCAGGAGGTTTCTTTACATAACTTCTTTCCTTGTCTTCACTTACCTCTCACCTCTGGCCCACGTTCGGGCAACTCAAGTCTCTCTCCCTCCAGAAAGCATGTCCTGAAACACTGCACTTTTCAATGGCCACCTTCTCCTTTCTAACCCTTCTAGAACTAAAGCAGAGGTTGACCTACCCACACTTTGGCCAGCCCACAAAGTGATTCCTGCTGTTGTTTTATCTGGATTAGCTTCCAAGTTGACAAATCAGAAATTTTCAGATAAAACTCTGAATTTTCAGCTTCTCTTTAAAAATCAGAAGATAGAGGTGCCTGGGTGTCTCAGTCAGTTGAGTGGCTGCCTTTGGCTCGGGTCATGATCCCAAGGTCCTGGGATCCAGCTCCGCATTGGGCTCCCTGCTCGGCGGAGAGCCTGCTTCTCCCTCTCCCTCTGCCTGCCACTCTGCCTACTTGTGCTCTCTCTCTCTCTGTCAAATAAGTAAATAAAATACTTTAAAAATAAAATAAAAATCAGAAGATGTGGTGACAGTGAGTCTGCATCCCCTCTTGGTTAGGCTGGAGTTCATGGTAACAGCTGGCCCTTTGGCTAGGGCACAGACTCCAAATTTTATCCTTGCAGTTGCTCACTGTACCCGTATGTGCCTGGCTCATGTAAGTATTTGAGTTTGTAACCCCAAGTCTAAACCATGGCTGGACACTTGGTGTGCACTACCTGGTAGTTGTTTAGCTTTATATTTATCATGTCTCCCAGAAAACTTCCACATGGGCATTTCCACACCCTCAGCCCATTTGGGGATCCCCCACAAAGGCTAGCACAGCAAGCTAAACCTAGGAGTATAGTTAGTGTAAGGTAATTGAGGATGATGAGGATGAAAACTAATCTGTCTTTTCTTAAATAACCCATCACCCAATAAAACCAGTGACCCCATTCCAAAATTAAATACCAAGAAAAAAAATTCCATACAAGGAAATAAAACAACCTAAGAATGCATTGGGAGTGAAGAGGGGAAGGCAGTCCTAGGAAGGTTGATTTCAGTGAAACCAGTTCTGGTCTTGCAGCTAGAGCAAGATGCTGAAATTTATTTGTTGTAGTTAGTTAGCAGATGTTTGTGATTTCTGTTTAAGACTTCTTGCTAGAAGGCTCTGTTGGTCCCTATTTCCTCACTCATACCAAATCGCTGAACCCCAAAGGCAGGAAGAAAAAGAGGAGGGATGATGGATACTGGTGATGGACACTGGGTTGGGAGACATGTAGGTGTAGAAATGGCTTTCAAGAATACCCCTATTACCCACTGTGTGGACTCATCTGGCATTATGACCCAAAGTCATAGGGCCAGAGGTCAGATCTTGATGTAAGTGGCATGTAGATTATGGAGGAGAGAAAAGGTTTGAAATGTATGGAGCCAGGGCGCCTGGGTGGCTCAGTTGGTTAAGCGACTGCCTTCGGCTCAGGTCATGATCCTGGAGTCCCGGGATCTAGTCCCGCATTGGGGTCCCTGCTCGGCAGGGAGTCTGCTTCTCCCTCTGACCCTCCCCCCTCTCATGTGCTCTCTCTCTCTCATTCTTTCTCTCAAATAAATAAAATCTTTAAAAAAAAAAAGAAAGAAAGAAATGTATGGAGCCAGAAGCTAGACTATGGAAAATTCTTTCAATCATCACACTTGTAAAATTGTCAGTGGAAGATTCAGTTATCACTAATACCTGGTATGGTAGCAAGCATCCAAGATAGGCCCCAGTGATCTCTGCTTCACATTATTCATATCCTGCTGAAACCTACTGCAAAACAGCCTTACAGTGGAATGGGAACTGTTAAAAAGAATAAGGTAGGCCTCTAAGCACTGATGACCATTAAAAGATATTCAGGATATATTGTACAGTGGGGAAAAAAGCAAACTGCAAAACAATATGGATAGTATGGATAGTTTTAGCTTGTTCATATCTTTAAAATACTGTATTTCTTTCATTCTAAAACATGTATCGTTTCAACTTTTAACATCTCTGATTAATGGCTGGGTTTTCTGGTTTTGGGTTTTTGGTGTTTTTTGTTTTTTTGTTTTTTGTCTTAAGAGTTCTATAAAATAAGATGCGTCTTATTGCTTTAGATTTGATGAAATACGATATAACTATATATAGTATACCAATCAGAACAGGACTGCAGCTTTAAAGCCCTGGGCTGAAAACCCCTTCAGCTGTTTGGCCAGCCTTCTGCTAAACTTTTCAGTTAAACACCCTAGGTGTTGTGGCACAGACAGAAATTGCTTTTCAGGAACCTGCTTGTTAGGCCTGGTTGACATGGCAATCACAGAGTATTGTCATGTAAGGCAGGGATTGGCGCTAGGATTCTAATGTTGTGCCTTCTCACTTTGAAAGGAGATAAAAGCCCAAGTGTGAGGAGATCCGGGACTGCTCTGACCTGTACTGGCTGAGGCTCCCACACCAAGCTGGTATCTGGCGGAACAAGCCTGGGAGGAAAAGGTGCCTGGAGTCCCATCTGCTTTACCATCAAATGTATGCTTTCTTAGTAATAGAACTGTATCCTTTATCCAAGTTGGGTAAAATGTTGCCACCTAAGTAAGTTCTGTTGAGTCACTAACCCAGAGGGGATCTTGGGCTCCTCCTCGATCAGAGTAATAGACTTAGGTATATTTGCACACAAAAACGTTAGAAAGAATATATGCTAAATTAGTGAGAGATTATTTTGCAGGAATGAAATTAATGGAGAGTTAAATGTTCTACAGTTGTATATTACTTAAAAAATTTAAAAACCACTTATATGTATAACTTTTATAATCAGAGGGAAAAAAAGGTAAACACATTCAAATTGGAAAGTACAGTATAATGTTAATAATGAAGTGGCCAGGCAACCACTGGTTTTTCCTTTCCCTACTCCAACCCTCACGAACCTTGTAATGAGCATGAATTATGTTTTCAATACAAAAATTTGTTTTAAGAAATAAAAGAAATTCCCCCAAACCCAATTTCACCTCTTCAAATAAAAATAAAGGCACAGAGCCTTCAACATTGCATGGGGAAAGCAGTTTATTTCTAAATGAAAACTATACATGGTTCAGGCGACTTATTTATGAACCAAATTCTACGAGGGCCTACTGTCTGGTAGACACAGTTCTCGCGGCTTTCTCGCTTGTTACCGCATTTGATTAAAAGATTTAAAAAAAATTTTTTTAATCAAAGACGGTTTCAAGAAACCCTTAAGTTTCCAAAACCGCGTTCCCCCCCCAAAACTAAGACACCCCTAGCGCCTCCCCTCTCACGTGACCCTGTGACCCGGGGAAGCCATCTTAAGCACCGCCTCGTAGAGGAAACTACATCTCCCGGAATCCTCTCGCATTGCGTCGTGCTGGCACTTTTACTGGCCGGGTCTTAGAGCTGAGCCTGTAGCCAGGCGCCATCTTTGACGCTGGCAGTCTTGGATTTCTGCTGGTGCTGCTCCTGTGAGGACGGCGGGCGGCAGCGGCTAAGAAAGAAGAAAGACGTGGCAGCAAGCGGGAGTCGGGGACAGTGTCGGCGGTTCGGTAAAGTTTCTGTTCTCTGGTAACTAGACCCGTTTTTTGATTCCCGGTGGCTCGGGGCAGGGGAGGTGGGGGAGAGGGCGAGGGGAGTGGCCGCGGCCTCCCCTCGCCCCTGGGTTGCGGCCTAGCCCGGGAAGTCAGAGCGGGTCCTTCGGCCCCGCCGTAACGAGCCCCCCTCCCCCACCTCCCGCCCGCCGCCCTCGCCGGGGCGAGCTGGGAGCCCCGGGCTCCCGCTCTCAGTTCCATTCACCCCACCCCCACCCCTTGCACCCCACCCCCACGGCGCCTGCTCCTTCCCAACAACCTTCCTCCCCTCCCCCACATCCGGTGTTGGCGAAACCGTAGGAGCCCGGAGCAGCCCCGGAAAGCCGGCTTGTTCCCCGTCTCCCGGAGAGAGAAGTGACACTAGCTTGCTTTCTTCGCGACAACAGTTTCCCCAGTTTAGCGGACCCCCACTGCCTAAATCAAACTGAGTGCCAGGAGCTGAATTTACCTACTCTCATTCCTCTCCAGGGTCCCACTACTTGGGAGATATTCTCAAACTCCACATACTGAAAGCCACCGACCTTAATCCGGTATCCTACACCCCTTCCCTACTTTAATTAACTCCCACCCCAGCCCTCCGCATCGGAGTCAAGAACAACAGGGACACTTCCGTTCTCCTTGTAGGATTGATGAAACCGTAATGAAGAACACCCCCTAAAGCCCCATAATCGGTGCGGATTCCTATGGGGAAGGCCCATGTTGTTGACATCTTGCAGGCCTTGGTTCTGGACCTTGAGAAGGAGGCTGTGGAACTAGTGATAGCGATGCTTTTTAGGGTAAATGTATGTAGGTATTGGGGGAAGGGGAGGGATCACCCGAAAAGGAATGAAAGTGGTTTAAAGCTTAAATTTCAGTGTTTGCTGTTCATATAGAGTTCAACTCATGAGTTACTAGTACATTTACAGGCAGTAAAGCTTCTCCAGTCTAAAAATGTCTGAAAACTAAATTTGGATTAACTCTTGATACAAACAGTAAATTGAAAATGCAGCTTGTGACCTTTTAAATTTTTATTCTCAAAACACTTTTTTTAGCCATCCACATTTTAAAAATTTGTATTATTTATATTTAAAGCTGAAAGGGCTCAACTAGCATTTGCTGTTAATGACCAGTATGTGGAGTCTGCTTTATATTTCCAGAATTGACTTTTTGGGTTGTATTGTCAAATCACAGTCCTAAGTGATGAATGTTGAATGATGCACTATGTTTTTGTTTAAGTGAAATTTCCTGAAAATAATTAATTTCAGAATTAAGGGAAATTGATGTTACTACCATGATGCATCATTAAAATACACATTTTTAAAGCTGAAGGCATTTCAAGGAGATGTAGTTCTTGATGAAGCAGAAAGGACATGGGCCTGGGATTTGGAAGACCTGGCTTCTAGCTGCTACCAACTCTATGACTCTGGAAAAGTGGGCCTCAAGTTCCTTTTTTCTATAACATGAAGAGATTGGACTATTTGAAAGCAGATTCAGAACTCAGAAGTTGGAAGGGATCATAAAGCCCTCTAAGAAAAGAGTTTGGGAATGTTCTCCATTGCTGTCACTTTTCCTCCAAAAATAACCTGGCTTGGAAGTCATTGTTCCAAAGGGAATTTGATTCCCCATAGAAATTGGAGACAAGGTAATGCAATTAGAGAGGAACAGCTGTATTTTTGCTTGAGTAACAAACCCACTAACAGATTCTGGTACGAATTTTGGAGACATAAAGAGAATGAGTATATGTACCTTAAGTGTACCAGTTTCCTCACTCTCTCCTGGCAGACGATGCAGCACTTTTAGTGGTGCTGGGATTCTGGGATGTGTTCCTATTAATTCCAATACAGATGAAGAAGATGTGGTAGAGGGAAAGATGGTGGCAGAAGGAATGGATAAAGAGGCAAAATTGCCTGCTAAAAAGAAAAGAAAGAAGGGTTTACGGATTAAGGGGAAAAGGCGAAGGAAAAAACTGATCCTTGCGAAAAAGTTTAAGGATTTGGGATCTGGGAGGCCTGTTGCAGATGCCCCTGCTTTATTAGCTTCCAGTGCCCATGAGCAGGATGAAGAAAGTCTTTTTGAGAGCAATATAGAAAAACAGATCTATCTACCTAGTACCAGAGCCAAGACCTCCATTGTATGGCACTTCTTTCATGTTGACCCCCAGTATACCTGGCGAGCTATTTGTAACCTCTGTGAAAAAAGTGTTAGCAGGGGCAAACCAGGCAGCCATCTGGGGACATCTACTCTACAGCGACATCTGCAGGCAAGGCATTCACCTCACTGGACCAGGGCCAACAAATACGGAGTCACTAGTGGGGAGGAGGATTTTACTTTGGATGTGCCTTTATCTCCCTCTTCTGCTGGAAGCAATGGAAGCTTTGAATATATGTCTACTGATCCATTAGATGAAAACAGAATGGGTAAGAAACGTGATAAATCAGTATCTGATGCCCTGAGGGCAGAAAGAGGGCGATTTCTCATCAAAAGTAATATTGTCAAGCATGCCTTAATTCCTGGAACAAGAGCCAAGACATCTGCAGTTTGGAATTTTTTTTATACTGATCCTCAGCACATCTCAAGAGCTGTGTGTAATATATGTAAAAGAAGTGTGAGCCGGGGTAGGCCAGGTTCTCACTTAGGAACTTCAACTCTTCAACGACACCTGCAGGCCACACATCCCATCCATTGGGCTGTTGCCAACAAAGACAGTTGTGCGGTTGGAAATGGATTAGATGAGGCTGAGACTGAGAGAAATGATCTCTTAAGCGATCCTCTGCATGGAGAGAAGTCTACAGGCAGCCATGATTTAACAGCTGAGGACCTTAGTGACTCTGATTCAGATGAACCTCCTGTGTTAGAGGTTGAAAATAGTAGAAGATCTGAGAGTCCTATTCCTATTGCGGAGCAAGACGCTCTGACACATGCACAGGAGAGAGAAACAACATACTCCGAAAATTCAGTCTCAAGTCAAATAAGTCAGGCAATTATTCAAATGATTGTGGAGGATATGCATCCTTACAACTACTTCTCAACTCCAGCCTTTCAGAGGTTCATGCAGATTGTGGCCCCTGACTATAGGTTACCATCTGAGACTTACTTTTTCACAAAGGCTGTACCTCAATTATATGATTGGGTCAGAGAAAAAATTTTCTTAACTTTGGAGAATGTTCAAAGCCAAAAGATCCACCTGACTGTGGACATATGGACCCATGACCCATCCACTGACTATTTCATTGTGACTGTACACTGGGTCTCTTTGGAAACTGCACCTTCTTCCAGTAATGGCAGGATCCCCAATTTCAGAAAGTGGGCAGTACTTTGTGTAACAGGGTTGGCCAAAGACTGCTTGATAACCAACATTTTACAAGAATTAAATGACCAGATTGGTCTGTGGCTTTCTCCTAATTTCCTTATTCCTAGCTTCATTGTTTCTGATAATTCCTCTAATGTGGTACATGCAATCAAAGATGGCGGTTTTACCCATGTGCCGTGCTTCCTGCATTGTTTAAATATAGTCATTCAGGACTTTTTTTGTGAGCACAAAAGCATTGAGAATATGTTAGTAGCTGCTAGGAAAACCTGTCATCATTTTAGTCATTCAGTCAAGGCCCGTCAGATTCTACAGGAGTTCCAAAATGATCACCAACTTCCATGGAAGAATTTGAAGCAGGATGAAACTGGCCATTGGATTTCTACCTTTTATATGTTAAAATGGCTCTTGGAGCATTGCTACTCAGTTCACCATAGTCTTGGTAGAGCTAGTGGAGTTGTGCTCACCTCCCTTCAGTGGACTCTAATGACTTACGTTTGTGATATTCTTAAACCATTTGAGGAGGCCACCCAGAAAGTGAGTGTCAAGACCACAGGATTGAATCAGGTGCTCCCCCTAATCCATCATCTGCTCCTTTCTCTGCAGAAACTCAGAGAAGATTTTCAAATAAGAGGTATTACTCAGGCACTCAATCTGGTGGACAGTTTATCTCTGAAACTTGAAACTGATACCCTACTGAGTGCTATGCTTAAATCTAAGCCCTGTATCTTGGCTGCTTTGTTAGATCCTTGCTTTAAAAACAGTTTGGAAGACTTTTTCCCTCAAGGTGCTGATTTAGAAACTTATAAGCAGATCCTTGCAGAAGAAGTTTGCAATTATATGGAATCTTCAGAGGTCTGCCATATTGCAACTTCAGATGCTTCTGGTCCCTCAGCCATTGTAGGAGCTGATTCGTTTACCTCATCTATAAGAGAAAGCACCTCCAGTTCAGGGTCTTTTGATAGCTCAGCTGTAGATAATGTTGCCATTGGAAGCAAAAGCTTCATGTTTCCTTCTGCCATAGCAGTAGTGGATGAGTACTTCAAAGAGAAGTATTCAGAGATCTCAGGAGGTGGTGACCCTTTGATTTACTGGCAGAGGAAGGTGAGCATATGGCCAGCTTTGACCCAAGTTGCCATTCAATATCTAAGCTGCCCCATGTGTAGTTGGCAGTCTGAATGTATCTTTACTGCAAATAGCCAGTTTCATCCAAAACAGATCATGAGCCTGGACTTTGACAATATAGAACAGCTGATGTTTTTGAAAATGAACTTGAAAAATGTTAACTATGATTATTCTACGTTGGTTCTGAGCTGGGATCCTGGGAATGAAGTTATTCAAAGCAATGAAAAAGAAATACTACCTTAATTTCTTTTTCCTTTTTCCATTTGAAATGGGCAACTTGTTGCTATGTTACTGTATCCTAATTGCTATAGTTGTTATATATAGTTATACTAATTATTCTTTATACGCAAATCTGGGGAAACCTAAAAATGTGCTGAAAATTCCTCAGAGGATTAATAATAATGCTGACAAAGTGAAGATTAAAAATTTCACAGTAGTAACTCAGTGTAGCTGTCTCTTAAAATTTTGTTTATACCAATTAAGAGAGAAAAGATATTTTTTAACTTAAAAAATATAGTGCAGCATTGAAAGGCTTTAGGCTATTTCTGGCTGGTAGATTGAACTTGTAATTGGTTTTAAGTAAAAATTTCTCCCCATCATGGGAAGTTTGCTCTGAAACCAATGAAATTGAAGGAAAAACATATACTAAGCAGGTATTCCTCCCCTTCTCTCCCATTTTTCTAGTTTTTTAAAAACCCTGATCCGTACAGCTTGGCAAAAGCAAAACTCATGAAATTTGGAAATTTCTAATTGCCTCCTCATACTGGTCAGCTTTATCATTTCAACTTACTGAGTGTGATAGAGTTACCCTTTATATTTAGGATTGGATCTATGTAAAAGGGAAACATTAGAAAACAATCAGGAAAAAATTACTTTCAGTCTTTGAATAGCCTTTTTTTAACTTTCAGAAAATAGTGTAAAAACAATAAAATAAAGATTGTATGGGTACTTTTTACAAATTTATGGGCAAATGACATAATAAAAAGCTTACAAAAATTGAAAAAGATTGAATGGGAATTGGAGTAAAAGCCCCAGGAGCACACTTTTGGCAAACACAGTGTCCATTTCCCAAAGAATGTTTCTCTGATTTTAAGTGATCTTAAATGTCTTTAAATATATATGCTGAATGATCCATAATACTGTATTCTTAACTGTGAGGTGGTTTTTTGGCTTCTAATCTTAGCTAAACATAAGCACTCAGTATTTTCAGGTGTTAGGAATCATTACCTCACTGGTAAAATGAGAGAATTGATCTCAGTGATCTTTAAAGTCCCTTTCCACTCTTAAAGTATGTTTCTGTGGTTGAGTGGGAGGCCAGAAAATGATGACTTTTAGTAAAAGTCTATTACAAGTTTCAGACTGAATAACTAATGTAAGATCCCAATTTTTCCTTTTTTTCATTTTAGATTTGGGGATATTCCCTGCCCAAAAATTTCCTGGAAAATTGACTAGTATTAAGTGTGAGTAAAAGGTGTCCACTTTTTTTTAAGTTTTGATTTTAGTTTTGTCTTGGATAGTATTTGGCAAGATTTAGCCTAGAAATTATGTAGTATTTATTACATGAGAATCAAAATTGCTTTGTTACGGGGCTGGTTTCAAAATTTAGAACTCATTTCTATGTATCAAAATCGTTTTTTGTTTTTGTTTTTTGGGTTTTTTGTTTTTTGTTTTTTTAATTCTTAAATGGTAAATGTACCATTGTGAAATGAAATTTCAACTCCAAAAGTTTACCCTTTTACTAACTGGAGTAAATGAATAATTATAAAGTCTTTGGTTGTAGCCATCACTTGTGAAGAAAAAAAAAAAAAAAAAACGAAACCAGGCTGCCTAAGCAAGCCTTTGCAGGGCCAATATTGAATGTCATGCCAGTGACACTGGTGTTGCTATAAAGGAAGAAAAAGTCTTCCATTAGATAGAAGCTTTCTGGATTGTGACAGCGCCAGTTCAGGACGGCTGTAATGCTGCTCTGCCTTCCACAGCTAGCTGCACCACTCTGTAGTTACTCAGTAACTATAAGTTTCTATCTTTTTTGGTTAAACACTCCCTGAAGATGAGAAATATGTACATACATCCGTATTATACACATTGATTCACGTGTGTAAGGATTTCCCTTCATGTTTATTCTGTGGGCTGGGCACAACTTAGTGTAACATAGCGATACACGTCATGATACTTTGGTATAAGAGTAAGTTCACTATTTTTATAATGAACCCAAATCTGAAGGCTTTTGTAGTGTATTTTAAAAGGGAAAACTTACCCAAATGTTTTATTTCTACACATTTGTGTATATGTGTGTGTGTGTGTATAAGCCAGTTAGTATATATGTATATGTATATTACATACATAAAACACTTGATATTTTTTCATACAAGTATGCTTTTATTATACAGATAATAAAGATGGGGGAAGGTTTCTGTTTTTTTCTTAATAGGTGAAGAAATCTTGAAGACCAGAAATTGGATCTTATTGAATTTTGGTGTTCTTTTTCTTTTTTCTTTTTCTTCTTTCTTTTTAAATTATATTGTTCGGCTGTGGAAGATGGATTTTTTTTTTTCCAATAATCCTTTGACTCTGAAGTTCATCTTTAAATGAACTCTCTTTTTTGTTGGTTTTTATTTTTGTTTTTGTTTTTGAGGAGATAACTAAGCCTAGCTGTCTCCAGTCTGACAAAGGTTATTCGAATGGACTTAATCTCCCAGTAGTTGGGAGATGTTTTAAAAACACGTCCTGTGTTTGAATTGTGGCTGAGAGGTTTCCTTGGCAATGTGAGGAGGAAAATTCTTTCTGCCCCATTATTATTAATTCATGGATTGAGTGTTGGTTCGACCTACAGGCGTAATAGATTGGAACTCAGTGAAGACACAGAGGTTCCTGTTGAGAGCAACCAGCTAATGTAAGTGTGGGAATGGGTTTTTTCTCATTAAAGGAGTGAATATTTTTGTAATTTAAGGCATAATTTTCCTGGATCAGTAAGAAATTAAAAAACCATTGTCAAGATTTTTTTTCTTGTAATTACTTACAAGCTTTTGGTTTGGGGATGGAAACATTTCCTTCCCCTCCCCCCTTTTTTGATAGCACATGCACTTTATAAAAAAGGTAAAAACAATATACCAAGGTGGAATCTCCCTGTGATTCCATTTCCTCTTAGGAAAGCACTATCAGTGGTTTATCCATGACATAGTTCCATGCACATAGCTGTGCCTCATCTGTTTTTTTTTTTTTAATGACACGATAGTATTCCTTTATATGGAAGTGCTGTAAGTTTAACATATCTCTCATTGATAGACATTTGGAGTTTTGCCATTAAAAATAAAAATAGCCCACATCCAATAACAGCCCTTTGTGAGCTATTTCCCGAGAACCAGCTCTCAGATGTAAATTTGTAGAATTATTACAATTCTCTAAAGAGGTTGTACCAATTTTCTGAGTAATTAATGATGTCTTTTTTTATTTGTAAAAGTTCTTGACATACCCTTTTTAGTAAAAATACTAATCTTTGGTTGTGTTGCTGATCTTTTGCTATATAAGTGTTTTCCATTTTATGTAGTCAAATCTGTCAATTTTATTATGATTTTTAACTATGGCATCATGCTAGGAAAAGGTTTTTTTTTCAATCTGAGCTTATAAAAAATATATCATGCATTTTTTTTTTTTGCAGTACTTGGATGGTTGTATTTTTTATATTAAAAATGTAATCTAGGACTACCCTATGATCCAGCAATCACACTACTAGGTATTTATCCAAAGAACACAAGAATACTAATTCAGAGGGTTACATGCACCCCATGTTCATTGCAGCGGAAACAGCCCGAGTGTCCTTCAGTTGATGAATGCATAAAGAAGATGTGTGTGTATATATGGAGCTAGAGAGTATAATGATAAGCAAAGTGAATCCATCAGAGAAAGACAGATACCATATAATTTCACTTATACGTGGAATTTAAGAAACAAAAGAGCAGAGGGAAAAGAGAGAAGCAAACCAAGAAACAGACTCTCAACTGTAGAGAACAAGCTGATGGTTACCAGAGGGAAGGTGGGTGGGATGTTGGGTGAAATAGGTGATGGGGATTAAGGAGTGCCCTTGTGTTGAGCACTGGGTGTTGTATGGGAGTGTGGAATCACTATTGTACACCTGAAACTTGTATGACACTGTTTGTTAACTAACTGGAATTTAAATAAAAACTTAAAAAAAATTAATCTAGGGATTGTAGTTATATGGCATTGCCTCTCCTTCCCATAAGCACGGTCAATAAAGGTATCAGATAATCGCTTTCCTTTTTGCTGAGCAGAGTTACGAATTCAGAATCTTTTTTTTTTTTTTTAGACAGAGTGAGGGAGAGAGAGAGAGCGTGAGCAGGGTAGAGGAGCAGAGGGAGATGGAGAAGCATACTCCCCGATGAGCAGGGAGCCTTATGGGCTCGATCCCAGGACCCTGTGATCATGACCTGAGCCGAAGGGAGATGCTTAACCAACTGAGTCACCTAGGCACTCCCAGAATCTTTCTTAGTGTAATGCTTTAGTTAGTGAGCTAAAGCCTCTTCGCTGTCTTTGTTTTTATTCCCTTAGAACCTTTTTGTATGAAGTAGAAATGTTTTTTTTTTCAAGTGGGAGACCAAATTTTTTTGTTAATTTCAAATGCTACTTTTTTCACAAATCACATTTGTGGACTTGTTTAAATTCTGTTGATCTTAAACTCATTTGAGAATATTACACTTAAATGTTGTATTTCACATCCATTATAATATCAAGGAAAGTGAGGTCCTCTCCTAAAATTTTTCTTTATCTTAGTTATTCTCGATGATTTTATAGTCCATCAGGTTCCAATAATAAACTATTCATTTGATGTATACATTATTTGGAGAAGTAAACTGCTTTAAGCCTCTACTCCATTCTCTCTCCATTATCCAGGTCTTCAGTGCCTTGGTAGCTTCATAGTTTCTCGGTTTTTAATTTAACGTAGGTTTTGTATACTTCGTTGTCTTCCTGTATGTTTTACAGCTTTATTGTGAATGGGACTTTGTTACCAAGCTAGCACATGGGAAATTTAACAATTTTTAAAAAATACCTTATTAAATATGTTTTAGTTATTGCTAGATTTGCTAGTTTGCAAGCATATAATTTGTAGGTACTAAATTTTTTTTGCCTCCTCCTTTCTAGTCTTTATACCTTTCCTTACTTCATGTGCTAGACTCGGAAACAGTATTGACAGATAGTGGAGACAGCAAAGTGCTCCTTTTTTGTTTGTCTGGAATGGGGTCACTTCCAGTGTTTTACCATATTGCTTGTGCTGATGGTTTCTGATGGTTGAGTGCATGTATGCTAAGGAGGTTCCTTGTAATCATACTAAGCATGTATGCTAAGGAGGTTCCTTGTAATCATACTAAGCTTTTATCAGGAGTAAATGCTGCATTTTACCTTTTTTTAAAGCCATTTTAACTAAAAAAAATACCATTTTTAAATCCTTTTTTAAAACCATGTTTTCCTTTTTGAAATTTTAAGATACCTGGGGCGCCTGGGTGGCTCAGTCGGTTCAGTGTCTGCCTTCAGCTCAGGTCATGATCTTGGGGTCCTGGGATGGAGCCCCATGTCAGGCTCAACTTGGAGTCTGCTTCTCCCTCTCCCTGTGCCCCTCCCCCTGCTCATACTCACTTTCTCTGTCTGTGTCTCTTTCAAATAACTAAATGAAATCTTAAAAAAAAAAAAGACTTTAAGATACCAGAGTTTTTGTTTTTACCCACCCTTTTTACTCATTACATTAATGTAATGAATTTTTTAAAAAGATTTTATTTCTTTGTGAGAGAGAGCACATAAGTAGGTGGAACGGCAGGCAGAGGAAGAAGCAGGCTCCCCACTGAGCAGGGAGCCTGATGTGGGGCTCGATCCCAAGATGCTGGGATCACGACCTGAGCCAAAGGCAGATGCTCAACCAACTGAGCCACCCAGGTGTCCCTAATGTAATGAATTTTTTTAATGTTAAACCACTCTTAGTCCTGGAATAAATGTTTTTTGATTATGTGATCTTATTTTTTTTAATATACTGTGGTTCAATTTGCTTTATTTTGGATTTATCAGCTATATCATAAATAAGATATCCAAAGCAGTTGTTTTAAAGCTTTTTTAAAAAGCAGTGAAATAGTGGAAGTGAAGTTCTTTTTCTCAACTTAGAATACTTCCTTAAGTAATTTTTTCAAGAATACGTGGAGTATATAGATGGTATACTTTTTGAGACCTTACATCTGAAACTTCTTCCAAATCCTGAGATCTTGAAATGTAGTTTGAAAGGCCAAATCTAAGGTCATAGTCTTCCCTTTATTTATTTTTTTATTTATTTATTTTAAAGATTTCATTTATTTGACAGAGACCTAGCGAGAGAGGGAACACAAGCAGGGGGAGTGGGAAAGGGAGAAGCAGGCTTCCCACTGAGCAAGGAGCCTGATGCTGCACTCAGTCCCAGGACCCTGGGATCATGACCTGAGCCAAAGGCAGACACTTAACCCACTGAGCCACCCAAGCGTCCCTGATGAACTCCTTTTAATTTAAAGACTCAGGTTTATTCAGTCTAGGGAAATTTTGTTGTATTATTATTTTATTCTTATCTCTACCAATTTCATTCCTTTTTTTTAGAATTTCCATTGTATAGAAATTAAATCTTCTGGAATTATTTCCGTCTTATATACCTTTTCTCTTGTGTTGGCATCTTTCTGCATTCTGAGAGATATCCTGACAATATCTTAAAATTGAATTTTTGTGTTTTTCATCAGCTTATTCTTTTACTTGTATTGAAATCTCTTTTGGGTGGCTCAGTCAGTTAAGCAACCGACTCGATTTCAGCTCAGGTCATAATCTTGGGGTCCTGGGATCCATCCCCGCATTGGGTTCACTCAGCAGGGCATCTGCTTTTCTCTCTCTCTCCCTCTTCCTCTGCCCCTCCCTCTGCACATACATGCACACTCTCTCTAAATAATTTTTTAAAAAAATCTCTTTGGGGGAAGAGGCTAGAACTTTGAGTTTTCTTATTTTTTGAACTTTCTTTTGTTTCCTCTCCTCAGAGCAGATAATCACTTGTATCAAGCTGTATCCTTTTGGGGTGGAGAGGGGCAGAGGAAGAGGGAGAGAGAATCTTAAGTAGGCCCCACACCCACTGTGGTATCCAACATCAGGCTTGGTCTCACAACCCGGAGATCCTGACCTGAGCTGAAATTAAGAGTTGGACGCTTAGGGTGGGGGGATGGGTTAGCCTGGTGATGGGTATTGAGGAGGGCACATTCTCCGTGGAGCACTGGGTGTTATGAACAAACAATGAATCATGGAACAGTACACCAAAACAAATTATGTAATATATGGTGATTAACATAACAATAAAAAAATAAAAAAAAAAAGAGTTGGACGCTTAACTGAACCACCCAGGAGCCCCTCAGGTTGTATCCTTTAAAGCTTACTGAGAACGTGGCAATTTTAAAGGAGTTTATCCTTTTTCCTATATTAATTCAGGGGTGGGAGGGGAGAGGACCAATTACTTATCTTGGCTTCCTACTTTTGCTATTGAAAAGTATTCATATTTTCTTGGCATGAATACTTTTGTTTTTCCTTTTTAAAACTTAAGAAATTTTTCAGTATGGGAGCACCTGGGTGGTTCAGTCAGTTAAGCAGCTAGCTGTCTTGAGCTCAGATTGTGATCTCGGGGTCCTGCGATCAAGCTCCATGTCAGGCTCCCTGCTCAGCCATGAGCCTGCTTCTCCCTCTGCCCCTCCCTCGCGTGCTGTCTCAAAATCTCTTTTAAAAAAATTTATCGGTATGCATCTTGGTTTTGAGTCTGCAAACTTGGGGTAGTAGTGATCACTGTCAATTTTTTTTTTTCCTAAATCTCTGGGGAAGGGTTTTTGGCCATTTTCTTGAATAACAGTTACATTCTTCCCCCCCCCCATAGAAAGATAAAGAAGTTCAGTGTGTGCTGTCTCTGTCTCAAAATCTTTTTTTAAAAAATTTATCAGTATGCATCTTGGTTTTGAGTCTGCAAACTTGGGGTAGTAGTGATTACTGTCAATTTTTTTTTTTTCCTAAATCTCTGGGGAAGGGCTTTTTGGCCATTTTCTTGAATAACAGTTACATTCCCCCCCCCCATAGAAAAATAAGTTCAGTGTTTAAAACAGATACATGGGGGCGCCTGGGTGGCTCAGATGGTTAAGCGTCTGCCTTCGGCTCAGGTCATGATCCCAGGGTCCTGGGATCGAGCCCCACATCGAGCCCCACATCGGGCTCCTGGCTCAGCGGGGAGCCTGCTTCTCCCTCTCTGTCTGCCCCTCCCCCTGCTTATTCTCTCTCTTTCTTTCTGTATCTGTGTCTCAAATGAATAAATAAAATATAAAAAATAATAATTTAAAAAGAATATACATGAAGTTACTGTTCTGTTGAAACATTAGCAAGGCTGTGTCCATCTGCTCAGCATTCAGTCTTCATGCTCTGCCTACCTCTGAGGGAGTTTTGCAGAGCCTCATTTTTTTTTAAATGCAAAACAACAACAAAAAACCCTAACATGCAATTCATGCTGTTTGTTACTATTTCATAAGTACCATTTTGGTGTTTAATTAGTGGGTTGGGGGTTCCTGAAACAAGCACCAGTTTCATATTTGTTCTTTGGGATATTGTTTTCAAAAATGAAATTGATCCCTAAGCCTTTTTTTCCCCTCCTTTCTAAAATATTTTTCTATTGTAAAACTTTTTCATTCCCCTTTAATACTTTTCCTTTTTGCATATGTGTCATTGTAATTATTTGAATATCCCTGAGAAACTTGATCCTGTTTCAGGCAGGTTTTCTGTTTTTTGAGGCAGTTTTTTTTAATTACCTTTTGGTGTACCCTCCATTACAGAATGCATTCCTTGTGTTTGGGGCCAGGGGAATCCTACTGGTGGATCAGTGAGGTGCTATTAAAGGACCAGCCCTTGTCCCATTCCGTAGTGGATCAGTGATGGACAAACCATTAAGGCAGACTTAAATTTTTTATTACATATATGTTGCCTTGTATTAGAAAATTGAATGTTATTCTCAGCATAAAACAAAATAATAAATAGCCATCTATAATCCTACCAACCACTCTAGTAGTAACTGTTGCTAACATTTTGGTCTTGTTCTTCCAAACTCTGTTGCTTCATCTTCACCAGCATTTAATGGTGTCAGTGTTCTGGATTTTGGCCATTCTAAAAGGAATTTGCAATTCCCTAATGATATACGATGTTGAGTATCTTTTCATATGTTTATTTACCATCTGTGTGTCTTGCTTGATGAAGTGTCTGTTTAGATCTCTTGCCCATTCCTTAATTTGTTTTCTTGTTGAGTTTTACGTGTTCTTTGTATATTTTGGATACCAGTCCTTTATGAGTTATGTATTTTGCAAAGATTTTTCTCCCAGTCTGGGACTTGTCTTTTCATTCTCTTAATAATGCTTCCACAGAAACCTCACCGAACCACATTCGGATTTTCTAGTAGCAGTTTCTTCTAGGCGTTTTCTGTCAAGTGTCTCAAAACTCTTCTAGCCTCTACTGGTGACCTGATTCCAAAGCTTCTTCCACATTTTTAGATATTTTTTCAGCCATACCCCATTTCCTGGTACCAGAATCTGTAATATGCTGCATATTATCACATTGCTTGGATGTACCATAATTTTTTAAAACAGACCCCAGTTTCTGAACATTTAGGTGTCTGGATGTGTTTTCATTGAGAAGCAGAGTGGTAGTGAACTTTCTTGTATATTATTACCTTGCATATTGGTTGAATATTTACCTCAGGATAAATTCTAGAAATGAAATTGTGAGTCAGACGGTATTGCAAATTTTAAAGGTTTTAGTATATGTTCAGTGGCAGACTCTTAATTCCTAACCTAGGTTGCTGACTTCAAGGCTGGTTTTTATTGTGGCCTGCTTTGCTTGGATTAGGATTATTAGTGGGAGATATGATTGAATTTGATTTAATTGATTTCAAGTTATAGATCAGTGTTCTTGAAACCTGGTCTTCTGATGTACGAGTTTGCAGAAACCCTTTCCAAATTCTGGCATGTGCTCTTGTCATGTGTTGTTACTTCTGTAGAAGCTTTCTGGAACACTTCAGTGTGGGGGCCTGGGTGTGGCAAGGGCTGCCGGTGGGGGCTGTTGGTGGTTTTTTTGTAAGCACTGTTTTATGGGAAGAATCCCAAGGACGACTTCTGCTCCTTGTAATTGGTGTGCAATTCCTTGGCCATCTGCATTACATAAACTAGTTCTACAGATGTATCCAGGGGTAATTGTTTCAATTATTCTAGTGAGAGAGTTTTTCCCACCTACTTATAATTACATACTTTTGAAATAAAAATGCTTGTGAAAATATTGGAGCTTTTGTCAGATGAAAAAAATCTAGTTTGTTGGCAATGTAGATTTAGCAAATATCCTGTGTAAAATAACGTAAGTCCCATTCATGACCTAAAATGTAGATCATTTATGGAGTTAGTGCTTATTTAATCTCATGTTGAAGCCATGTAACAAGCTCCATAGAAAATATGAAAGAGGGGCATGGCTGCCCTTAACAAAAGTTTTCCATTATAAATGAGAATGTATAATGTTCACATAAGAATAAAATATTAATCAGGGTTCACAAAGCTCTGAATAGGCAAGTACATAATATAATTAAAATTTGGTTTTAACAGTGTGCTCTCTGAGGTGATTTGGAAGAGGAAAGAATTTATCTGAAGTACTTTAATTCGTGTCTCCTCATTTTAGGATTGCATTTTAAAGACGATTTCTCTGATTGAGTTGTCTTTTGGAAGATTAAACCCATTTCAAGAGGACTTGGAGCTGGTCCTCGCCTTGAGGAAGCAGTGGCTTGTTTTCAAGAAGCCACTTCCGATCTAAGGATCTACCCAGCATGCCTAATCAAGGAGAAGACTGCTATTTTTTTTTCTATTCTACATGTACCAAAGTAAGAATTGGCATCTTTAAAATCAGTTCTTTCTGTAATTTCTCTAATAAGATTTGATAAGATTTTCCCAATATACTAAGTTTTTATGTTTTGTTTTGCTCAGCCATTTATTTTCTGCTACCATTTTCTTAGTAGAGAATAGTACTCCTAGGAGAATTCATTGTTTATCCTTTTTTCCTTTTCATGTATGTTCTTCACATTCTACAAAAGTGAAAAAGTCCACAGCATATAGTCATCATTCACTTCTCTTATAATAATTATCTGTTAATAATTACCTATTAATAATTAGCCCTGTTCAGGGTGCCTTTGATTCAAATTAGGAGCACTTTGGCCTGGCTTGTAAACTTTGGTTTTATTTACTTTGTATTAAATGAATGGGTGGGTTGTATCGTACTTTTAGAAACTGTTGTGGATTGAATTTGATTTTTTCTTCAGATTTCCTGCTGAGTAATAAAGCCATTCTTCTAAATATGCTTTTGTAGCAGTTTTGCTTTTTCTGTGTCAAAACTTGCTGTTTTTCTGCTTGATTCTTCAGCTTCATTGGGAGATCTATCCCCTTTTCCGTTCCTTTGTGACTAATTCTATAAATGTATATGTTGTTAGAGAAACCTGAAATCATCTCAGTGCCATGTTTAAAACGATTGGTTTTGAGCAAAGCTCTGAGCATTTATAGCATTTTGTTTCAGATATTGCCATTGTAGAGGTATATAATGAAGCATGGAATTAATACCTAAATCCTAATCTATTTGTGATTTTCCATCAAAAGCTAGTTACAAAAGTCAAGATGTATGAAATGGTTTTGAAGAACTATAAAATACACTTTTAAAGACTACCACTTTAAATACTCCCACTTAACTTTTTCAGCCCTATTTCCGCTTATGTCATTTATCTTGTGAAATCAAATGAAGGATACTGTCAGGAAATAGGTCATAGGAAATTATAAATTTGTTGACCTCAGATTGTTCTTGTCTTCCACCTCACTTTGCTACCTTGCCCGTCTGTCCTTATTCCTTTGTGTTTGTCTGGATGCCAGGAAGCTGTTACAGTGCACACTTTACCTAGGATCTATTTTGGTACCACAGTTCTTTTCTGTATTCTTTTCATTTACAGGGTGACAGCTGTCCCTTCCGTCACTGTGAAGCTGCACTAGGAAATGAAACTGTTTGCACATTATGGCAAGAGGGGCGCTGCTTTCGGCAGGTGTGCAGGTTTCGGCACATGGAGATTGATGTAAGTTTTTAGTTTGTACTATAATAAGCAGTCTGGTATTGTGATGGGCCAATAAAAAATATAGGGAGAAAGGGGCGCCTGGGTGGCTCAGTCGGTTAAGTATCCGACTCTTGATTGAGGCTCAGGTCATGTTCTCAGGGTCGTGAGATCAATCCCCATGTCAGGCTCTGCGCTGGGCATGGAGCCTGCTTAAATGACACCTTATATATAATGTGCAGGTTACATTTTTTAATGTAGTGAAATTTTTGTTGTAATGCTCAATATCTTGATATTTTGGAGTATGAGTTGGTTTCATTTTCTGGGAGCCAGTTTGGTAATGTATCTAAAGTGTAAAAATTATATGTGTATCATTGGGGAGTATTTATATTTCTGTGTTTATTTTAAACAGTCTCAAACTTAGAGAAAACCTGCAAGTACATTATAAAATATTTTTCTAAGCCACTTGGGAGTAAGCTACATTCCCTGTCACTCCCAAATACATTCATGAATATTTCCTACAAAAAAGGACATTTTTGGGGCACCTGGGTGGCTCAGTTGTTAAGCATTTGCCTTCGGCTCAGGTGGGATCGAGCCCCACATCAGGCTCCCTGCTTGGTGGCGGGAAGCCTGCTTCTCCCTCTCCCACTCCTCCTGCTTGTGTTTTCCTCTCTCGCTGTGTCTGTCTCTGTCAAATAAATAAATAAAATCTTAAAAAATAAAAAAGACATTCTCCTAGATAACTGTAATACAACCATCAAAATTAGGAAGTTAACGCTGGTAGATTACCTTCGTGTAATCCTTAGATCCCGTTCATTACCAGTTATGTCCTTTATTGCAGAAGGAACGAGTGCAGAACGGAGTGTCGGGTATAGTTGTCATTGCTCTCTCATTCTCCTTCAGTCTAAAACACTTACTCAGTCTTTCTTTACTTTTCATTTGCCTTGACACTTTTGGTAGTTATTAGACAGTTATTTTGTAGGATGTCCTTCAGTTTGGTTTGGTGTTTCCTCATTACTAAGTTCAAGTTATGTACCTCCGGCAGGAATATCATAATTCCTCTCAGTGCACACCATTAGGTGGCACATAAAATTTTAATTATCCCATTACTGGTGGTGGTAACTTTGATCACTTCATTAAGGTGGTTTGTACGAAATACTTCACTATACAGGTTTTCTCTTTGTAACTAATACGCATTTTGTGGAGAGGTACTTTGAGACCCTGTCATTTCCCCATTTCTCACCAAATTTTTAGTTTTTTTCCACTTATTTATGTTTGCGAACTCATGGTTTCCTCTTTTATTCAGTGTGTTGTACTCCATTACTATCATTTTTAATCCTCAGATTGACCCAGATTTGCCCAGTAAGAGCTGTTCAAGCTGATTTTTGTGTCCTTTTCATGTTTTCATCATCCTTTGAACACCTTTTTGCGTTCTGGCCTGACAAGATTTTTAAGGCTTATCCTATATTTTTCCTTCTCCAGTCCTGGAATCAGTCATTTCTCTAAGGAGCCCTGGATCCTTTTAGCGAAGAATGATATATATAGAAATAAGATTTCGGCAGCTCCTGGAGTCTCACTGCTTCCAGGCCTACAGTGGACCGAACAAGAGTATATAAATGGATTTACATACAAACATTTACATCATCATTTATTCTCTATGTCTGTGTATTGAAAATCATGAGTTCACATAGATGCCTTCAGTTCACTGGCACTGTAGGGTTTAGTCTAGGCTTCTCCCTTTCCATACTTGTAACTCTCTTCTCCAAAAGTGAGAAATTTGTCCTTAGTATCACTGATTCTATCATTCCTCTTGTTGTGTAAGCCAATATTGTATTCCCAGCCTCTTCCTTCTCCTCAGGCTCTGACATCACACATGAGGCTGCTCTTCTACAGGGATGTCTTTCTCACCTTGTTTTGGTTCCAGCAACCCTGTACCAGGCTTCTGTCCTTGCTCCACCATGAGGACCTTGTCCTCACCATACTTGGTCCCAGCATCCTACTTTGGACTCCTCCTCTCCCCATGAATGCCCTTTTTGCACCTTTGGACTCTGCTCCTCTGTGTGCGGCAGCCCTCCCGTATGAGATGCTTACTTTTCTCACCCTGCTCTCACCCTGGAATGTGTTCCAGCTCTTTCTCACCCTGGAATATATTCCAACTCTGTACCAGGCCCCCACTTGGGAAGACCCTGCCTTCCTTACCCCGCTTAGTCATTGTTGCCCATTCTAGGCTGACCCTCCATAAATACACGCTCCTCATCCTACGTTGAGATCTCTTCACAAAAGCTTTTCCTCACCCTGCTCAGGCTCCAACACTGTGCCAGGCCACGCTCCTACACAGATGTCCTCCCAACCCCTCATGAATTCTGACACCTAAGCCAGTTCCACCTTGTCACATGGTGCCTTCTTCATTCAGTCAGGCTCCAACACCCTGGTCTGGGCCATGTGCCCTTCCCTCTCCCAGCAGGAATGCCTGCCTCTCATTTCTCAGCCTCACCTAACACCCTTGGACCAATTGTTTGAGGGAGGTGGGGAAGGAAGGAAGGGACTGACTGCAGTTTGTTATGCCTGGGCTCATAGAGCTACTCCAGGTGGGCTGCAAATTAATGGCCTTTTAACTGCATTCTGTGCTGCCTATCTTCCAAAGAGCAGGGAATTCACTGAATAAATTCAGAGAAATTCTCTGCAGCTTTTGAAAATTCACATTATTATATTGTTGGCAGAGTATAATTTGGCACAACTCCCTAGAAGGTATGTCAGGGTCTCTTAAGAACATCTACATTGAGAGAGTCCCTAGAATCTCCTGAGACTCAGCATATAGTTATATTCGTGGCTAAGGTTTATTACAGTGAGCAGCGCCTGAGTGGCACAGTCAGTTGAGCATCTGACTCTTGGTTTTGGCTCAGGTTGTGATCTCAGGGTCGTAAGATCGAGCCCCATGCCTGGCTTTGAGCTCAGCAGGGCGTCTGCTTGAGATTCTCTGTCCCTCTCCCACTTGTGCTCACTCTCCCTCTCTCTAAAATAAATAGATAAATATTTTAAAAATTTTATTACAGTGATGGGGAGATAGCACTGATCATAAGGGGAAAAAAGACATAGAGTCTGGAGGAATCCATGTGTGGATTGCTTTCATGATCTCCCTCCCACGAGGGTTCACACACAGTACACACTTCCCCCAGCAGTGAAAATGCAGCACTATGTGTGGGATGTTTCTGCCTAAGGAAGCCCAATAGAGACTCAGACATCCAAGGGTTTTAATGGGGCTGGTCACATAAGTGACCTCTACCTATCATATACCAAAACTCCAGACTCCCAGAAGGATGGCCGGTGTTCAGCACAAGACGTATTATTTGCACAGTGCAGGCACTGTAATCAGTTAACAGACTAGGAACATTCCAAGGGCCAACTTTGCAAGCTGGGTATCTAAGGTGGCCGTCTTAGGGCTGCTCAGGTAACTCTTGTGCACAGTCTTACCTGGCTACATTTTTCAGGAATACTATATGCTTTTCCTACCTTTGTCTCGTGTGCTTTTATGTGCAAAAGCAGATATAGACAGAATTACTCATTGTAGCATAATTTATAATAGTAAGATATGTGAAATAACCTTCATTTAAAACACATTTGCGGCATTCATACAGCAAAGTGCTGGGTAGCTGTTAAAAGTTTTTTAAAGGGAAACTATTGGTATGGAAAGATCAGGATATATTGTCAGTGAAGAAGGGAGGGCAGAATAAGGTGCATGATATGCTATCATTTGTGTAAAAAAAGGAGAAGAATTTGTTTTTTATTTGCATGTGTATTTTTAAAATCTCTGGGAGCATAAAGGAGAAACTTGACAACAGTGGCTGTCAGGGAGTGGGGACAGGAATGGAAGGAGCCTTTTTACTGTAACCCCTTCTGTTTGCAGTTGATTTTCATTATTCATGAGTTCCATGTTTGCAAATTTGCCTACTCGCTAAAATTTATTCGTAACCCCCAAATCAGTACTTGCGGTGCTTTCACGGGCCATCTGCAGACATGTACAGAGCACTGAGAAATTTGAGTCGCCTGACTTGCACACTCCCGGCTGAGATCAGACAAGGTGACACCCTGCCGCCTTGTTTCAGTTCTCATACTATAAGCAAGTGTCCTTTTTGTGGTGTGTTTAATGCTATCTTTTTTTGCATTTTGTCCTTTTTGTTGGTGATTCTTTTTTGTGACTGATTAAAATGGCCCCCAAGTGAGATGCTGAAATGCCATGTAATGTCCCTAAGTGCAAGAAAGCTCTTAATAAGTGCCTTATGTAGAAAATACACGTATTAGATAAGCTTCATTCAGTTGTGAATTACAGTGCTCTTGGCCTTAGAGTTCAGTGTTAATGAATATATTAAATGAGGTGTCTTTAAACACAAACACACATATAACCAGTTTATGTATTGATTGATGAAAATGTGACAGAAACTTGCAGGAACCTGACTCTAACTCTGTATTTCCCTTAGGAGCAGAGTGGTTCAGTATTGGATAATTTAGTATTCGTGGTGACCTCATAAACATAACTACTTCAGATAGTGAGAATCAGCTATGTATCTTTGGACCATGTGCTGTATTCAACCTTTTGAACATTTAAAGAAATGATTCTATAGGAGAATGTTATTATGGAGGATGTGTTGCCGAGTGAAAAATATGCAGTTATTTGGAATACCTTTCTTTTAAGTGTACATGTAGGCATTTAAAATTTTTTTTCTTTATTTTTTTTTTAAATAGTAAGCTCTGTGACCAACGTGGGGCTTGAACTCATGACCCTGACAAGAGTCGCAGGCTCTGCCAATAGAGCCAGCCAGGCACGCCTATAAATTTTTTTTTTACGTCCAAGAATTCTGTACTCAAGTGATTCTCTTTGGGTGATAGCATGGCAGGCATTTATTACCATTTTCCAAGTGGTTTTCATTATTTGTGTATTACTTTTCATTTAGAAACAAAATCCAGTAAGTGGATTTTTAAAAGGGAAATTTTATTGATATGGAAAGATTAGGAGATTTTGTCAGTGAAATATGACACTGACAATAAATGTCATATGACTCCTGTATATAGAGGATACTATTACAGAAGTCATTCAGTAATTTGAAAACTTCCAGGAAAGAAAGAAAAACTTAAGCAAAGACAGACCCAGGAGCAAGAAAGATTGGCATTAAGTTCTGCCTTGAGGAAGGAGTAATTGAATAATTGTTGTAATTTTTATCTAAAAAAACAGTGATAGCTATTATTACATTTAAACTTTTGGGTGTGCCAGGAGACTGATAAATCCAGTTCTTTGAAAGGTAAAGGAATTTGCTGTACTTTTTAAAAATAGGTGATCATACATGTGGCAATAAACTCAGGACATAAATTTTGTGAATACCTTTTTTTTTTTTTTTTTTACCAAACCTCCTTTCAGAGATGTTGAGCTAATTTACATTTCCATTATCAGTACATGGGACCGTTTGGTTCTTCCACATCCCTACTGACACGGTGTACTATCAAGTGTTCAATCTCTCAATATAATAGATTTTCATCTTTGCCCTTTTTGATGCATTTGAGGATTTTTTTGTGATTTCTTTGTAATGCTGCTATGCTTTCCTAGAATTTTAAACCTCAGCTTGCTTATGATGAGAGATCCAGCATAATCCAACAGATCCAAATCTGCCTTTGCCCTTTGTCCCTTGATTGTCACTAACCACTGCCTCCAAGCTAGTCACTATCCTGACTGTTCTACCATAGAGAAATTTTGCCTGCTTTGATCTCCCCGTCAGTGGAATCACACAGTGTGCACTCTTCTGTGTCTGGCTTCTTTCTTCTGCACTGTCCTGTTAAGCGTAGGGATGGTTTATTCCTTCTCGGTACTGAATAACATGCTATTGTACGAATAAACTACAATGTATTTATCCATTCTGGTATTGATGTACATTTGGGTTTCCATTTTGGAGCTATTCTTTATACATCTTTATACCCATCTAATGTATAGAACTAATGTATGTATTTCTGCTGGACATATGCCCTATGATCCAGCAGTTTATTCTAGGTGTGAGGGTATCTTTTTCCTCATTTCCCTTCATAAGAGTGAGGTAGCTTGGGAGGGAAGAGTACCATCCTTAGTGTGTTATTTGTGCCTTACTTTGAGAAGTCTCGAAAGGAAAAATTTTCCTCAAAGCTGTGAGCTCTCAGTTTTAAATAAACTGCAGTTTATTGAGTCCTTCCTATGTGCTAAGTGTTTCATATACATTATTTCATTTAATCCTCATAAGAAACCAAGTAGATAGCTCCTGTTACTGCCATTTTATGGCTGAGGAAACTAAGGCTGAGAGGCATTAAATTATTTGTCCAACCTCACATGGCCAGTAAGTAACATAATGTTATCTTTGGTTCTAAAATCTTAACTGATATATTGTCCTGCTTCTCTAAATTAAATACAGGCATTTAGGGGTTCCAGCACGGTACATGAGCTACTCCCTACTCCCTTCATCGCTCCCTCAAGCATGGAGTGTCACTTTCAGCAACCCCTCTTCCTCCTGCTCACAATCAGCTCACATGCCTCTGAGCTTTGAAGCCTGAATGAACTTTATTCAGAAAACAAATGACCAAATTAATACAGGTCACACTTCATTTTTTATTTGAAAACAAATGTGTTTTTTCTTCCTATAGAAAAAACGTAGTGAGATTCCTTGTTACTGGGAAAATCAGCCAGTGGGATGTCAGAAACTAAACTGCGCTTTCCATCACAATAGAGGACGTTATGTTGATGGCCTTTTCCTACCTCCAAGCAAAAGTGAGTTGTGTTTTTCATTTTAAAAGAATAGTTACAATTTAAGAACACCTGCTATGTACACCGTACAGAGTACTTTACATACATTGCCTTTTAGTCTTGGGAGAGAGTAGTTTTATTTCCACTTTACAGATGAGGGAACTGAACTTTTCATTTTAAAGGTTAAATGACTGGTACATAGTCATAGTCATAAACAAGTTAAGTATCACGGGATTAAAACTTTGTTACCAAAAGCCATATTGCCTCCCAAATGTTTCTTGGCATGACAGTTTAGATTACTGTAGCTTCTTTTCCCATTTTCTTACCAGACACAGTGAGTTTTCCAAAAGAAACTGGATTCTCCAGGCCAGGGTTTGGCAAATCTGGTCCTCCACCTTTTTTATAAAATAAAGTTTTACTGGAAGGAAGCCATGCCCATTCATTTGCATATTTTCTGTGGCCAGATTTTGTGCTCCTTCTGCAGAGTTGAGACACAGAGGTCTACAAAGCCTAAAGTACTTAACGTCTAGCGCTTCACAGAAAAAGTTTGCCAACCCGACTCTAGGCTATAATCTAAAATAAAATTTACACTCCCCCAAAAGCTAGTTTTTATTTCCAAAATCTTCAACATTTCCTACTGGAATGATCAGCCATTTAAAAGCCACATCTTATGTGATTAAAATTTGATGCTACATATTCTCCCCTCTATTTAAGAGAAAAAAGTGGGCTTGCTCCTCTCTGGTTTAGTTCAGAAGTGTTACCTAGTATGTCTTTTAACAGCTACTTTTTTGCTGAGCAAAAAGCCTCAAATTTCAATATTAAAATTAAATGTCTAGAATTTGCAAACAATTTTATGCATCTAGCCTCCAGATCATTCTGTCTTTTGAACACCTACTTTGAACGTGTTTGTGTACAGTGAAGAGTTATTAGCTAAAAGCCATTTTTACCCTCCCTGGGAGTTTAGAACCTAATTGTGAAAATGGAGAAATCAGGTAAAAAGAAATAAGTTGTCATAAGGAAAAGCACCAAACTTAGCATATGTGATTGAAGATTTTTGATGAATTGGAACTTTATCTTCTATTTTTAATTTATGACTGATGTATGTTTAGCTGTGTTGCCCACTGTGCCTGAGTCACCAGAAGAGGAAGTGAAGGCTAACCAGCTCACAGTTCAACAGAACAAATTGTCTGTCCAGTCTAATCCCTCCCCTCAGCTGCGAAGTGTTATGAAAGTAGAAAGTTCGGAAAATGTTCCTAGCCCCACCCATCCACCAGTTGTAATCAATGCTGCAGATGATGATGAAGATGATGATGGTAAGCTTTAGCTCTTGCTTTAAGGCAAATAAATGGTCAGGGTCACTCAATGAATTGGAATCAGGATTAAAGCTTGAGGCCTCCTGTTAATTGTAAATTTGCCTCATATGTCAATACATAGATCAGTTTTCTGAGGAAGGTGATGAAACCAAAACACCCATCCTGCAACCACCTCCTGAAGTTCATAATGGATTACGGACAGCCTCTGCCCGGAAACCTGGGGTCAATTTGAAGCAAGGTAAGAAGAGGCTATATTGATGCTGCTTCCTGCTCATAAATCTGAAAGCACTGTTGAATGTGCCCAAACTATTTTAATACATTGAAATTTAGATCGCAATCACCACCACCGCTCTGTCCCCTGACACCACTGTACACACACCCATGCTCTCTTACTCATTCAGAAAACATTTGAGTGCTTCCGCACAAATAAAATGCAAAGGGCATGAGGTGTTAGTTCTTCATGTGATTTCTATTTGGATTTCTCAGGTGAATGTTTGAATTTTGGAATAAAAACTCTTGAGGAAATTAAGTCAAAGAAAATGAAGGAAAAATCCAAGAAGCAAGGTGGTAAGTCATCAGTTTTGACATGGATGGTTGAATTTTGCTGGAGAAGAGTAACAAGGACACTTCTAATAATAAGGACACTGGCAGCAGCCAAAATGAGCACATAGAAAATGAGCACATAGATTTTGACTTCTGTGCCTTGTTTGAAGTAAAACACAGACTTATTTAAATCAGGGCTGCTTTTTTTAGTACTTGAAAGAACTGCTTTATCTTCAGAAAAACAGCTCCAAAGAACAACATATAAAAATCGTATAGAGGGGCGCCTGGGTAGCTCAGTTGTTAAGCGTCTGCCTTCAGCTCAGGTCATGATCCCAGGGTCCTGGGATCGAGCCCTACATCAGGCTCCCTGCTCCATGGGAAGCCTGCTTCTCGCTCTCCCCCGGCTTGTGTTCATTCTTTTGCTGTCTCTCTGTCAAATAAATAAATAAAAATCTTAAAAAAGAAAAAATCATATCGAGAGAGGAAAAACTTTATTTTGTAGTAGATGAATTCTTCTTAGGAGCTGCTAGAATTTTCTTCTAGAGTTTGCCTCTGCCTGGTCAGTCTGTATTTCCAACCCTAAAAATTACAGATACAGTGTGAAAAGTATTATTTAGAAAGGATCAAATGGTTAAAGTATTCGCTTGCTAAAGCTTGTTCTGTAGGAACCTTGGAGTTGTGTTTTGCCGACGATTAAATTAGATTTTAAAAGGTTGAATTGACACACTTGGTAGCTGGTGTGCTTCAGGTTAACTTTAGAATGTTAGCCGCCTTGGTAAATAAAAGTAGATTGAATGCCTAAGTCACTGAAAATTTTATATTTTATTTTTACCTTGTATCCAAAGCAGATAAGAAATAGGGATTATCTCCTCTCTCCCACCCCACCCCAGTCAATTCACTATAGGCAAATAGGAACAGAAAGACTGGCTTGTAGTCATCCAGTGGTCTGTATTGAACTTAACTGATCACAGAAACAAAATTTCTTGGCTTATAATAGCTTAATTTGCCATAAATTATTTGCTCTTCTTTGACTTGCTTTATTCAGAAGGTTCTTCCGGAGTTTCCAGTCTTTTACTCCAACCTCAGCCCATTCCAGGTCCTGAAAAAGAGAATGTTCGGACTGTAGTGAGGACAGTAACTCTTTCCAGCAAACAAGGTGAGGTATAGGTAGGTCTAGGTTAAGAGTTGTCAGGCTACCACTTTTTAATAACTGGGAGAGCAAAGTCCTTGGGTGTAGTGTACCTTTGATGGATTTGCAGGAAGACTTGAGTATGTTGGTCAGATAGAAGGATGAAAAGAAAACTCAGTGCATTTGACTCTTACTTGAAAGGTTGACATTCTTGCTCAAGCAGCTCTCACATTTAGGTATATTTCATTTTTACATTTACTCTTTATCCATTCAGCAAATTTATTGACTGCCCATTGCGGGCAAAGAACTATAATAAACTCTAAATTACAGAAAATGTAAGCCTTTTCCCTTAATAGTTTTAAACCTGGTAAGAAATATGACACAAGTAATTGTAGGATACAGATACATTTAAATGTGCTGTTCAAAGAACAAAGAATAAGGGGAAAGAGAGCGCACTTTGTGCTGGTTTTCAAAGTTCTACATGAGAGCTAGCAATAGAGTGTGATTATTTCATTTAGCATATCGAAGTGCACAAACAAAAAAGTATAGCTGGGGTTTCTTAAGCAATTGATTAGAACACACCTGTCTTCATATACTTGGCTACTGTTAATAATTAGAACTGTATTAGTGATCCCTTTGGGCTGTGCATTTGGCTGTTTAAATTACTATTTAATAGACTGAATCTTTTTTCCCCCCATGTGACAGTCTTGAGATGTGATTTTCAAGAGACTTTCTGGGTGGGCTCATGATATCAGAGCATATTTTGTACCTATTATTATTTACGGAATACAGAAAAATTGGATAATAGAGAAATTCTGTTTTTGCCATTTCAGGAGAAGAACCCTTGGTAAGATTGAGTCTCACTGAGAGACTGGGAAAAAGAAAATTTTCAGTAGGTGAGATGAATTTTGTGCAGATCTTTTGTTTTCTTCTATTTGTGCATTAATATGATAATATCCTCCAAAACTGACTTTATACAATATCCTGTTGATATTGATTTATTTGCTGGTCCCTCTGAATTGGCTGAAAGAACTTACAAAATTTGTTTTTCACATGCATTATACCTTTCACTGATTTACAGAAATTTATAGTGTTACAATTTAAGTAGATTGTAACCAGCTTTTTAGAAGGTACTACATTGAAAAAACAGTAAAGAAGATACCTCTTTGTCTCTTTGGACAAACCGAAATTTGAGTTTTTTCGAGGGAAAAAAGTGTCCAGTTAATATAAATTTGGTCCCTCAGTTTATTAATGGTATTTTATGTTTAGGGAAGTGTTTTACCGTATTATTGAATTGTTATGTACATACCCTAATGTGTCTGTCTCAAAAGAATTTTGAAAATCTTCTCTGATTTCAGCTATTCCTTCATACTCTTCTTAAAATGTGCTTGCAAATACGAAATCTTACCTGTTTTGTGTTTTCTTTGATACCATTTTCACTGCCTGAGAAGTTTTAGGTAAAAAATACAGCTTTTTGATGTCTACATACATGTAAACTTTGTGATTTTTGGTCTCACATTTAAATTATAAATGAGAGTAGGGAGAAAATCATACCCTGTGTAGGGTCTTTCAGATTTTTAATGGGACGCTGCAAAGATTATCTTTAGTCAAGCAATCTGAAAAAGTTTTTAACTTGTGACATTTAAACAGCTCCTGTTGAACAGTATAATATAATGACCAGTCAGGAAACTTGGTAAAGTCTTGGCTCTATCACTAATTGGTGACTTGAGTAAGATAGAATTTTTCATAACCTTAGATCTCTTATCTACAATTGAAGAGAGGGGGCTGTTTGTTCTTCCAAGTTTTCATGTCACAGGAAAATATAATGATTCCTGTCCTGTCCACCAGGAACATTCCGGGTGCATTTAACCACAGATACCCCTAGAATTTAGCAAGTGGCCATTTAAGATGTTTTTTGTATATGAAGTTTTTTTCACATATTCCTATTTTCTGAATTTTGGCTTTACTTGGGGCTTATCATTCTCCATTTGTAGTTTTAGTCAATTATTTGATAGATGTTGATTTGTGCATTCTACTTTTTGGCCCTTATTTTTTCTGGGACATTTTTATTCTCTAACATTGAGTTCTGTAAGGACACTAGTGAATGAACACACTATATAAAATGCAGAAAACTGACATTGTGCGTTGTCTGTTTTGCTTGTATTTCTTAACCTTGTTGAAGACTGATTTGAACTCTTGAACTAAGTTCTCTCCGTTCGTAGGTGGTGACAGTGATCCTCCATTAAAGCGTAGCCTTGCACAGAGGTTGGGGAAGAAAGTGGAAGCTACAGAAACTAACACTGACAAAGCACCAAAGAAAGGTACCTTTGTTCTAATATACTCTGTGTGTGTGTGTGTGTGTAAGTAATCATGACACTTGTTTCTTGTAATGTTAACAGGTATGGTTCGTCATTCTTTTTTGTTCAGGTAAATTAGATTATCTTGTGTTTGTATTATTCAACAAACATTTGAGTATTTATTCTAGTGCTAGATTTTAGGGAGATGCCACTGGATAAAATAAATACCATCACAGTCCTCAGGAGCTTATAGTATAATGGCAGATAGGAGTGCTTATATATATTGTGATAAATTCTGTGATGGAAAGAGTACACAGTGTTATCGGAGCACACAGGAAGGGCACTTCTTTTACCATCTGTCAGGGAAGGGTTCCCAGGGCAAATTATGTTGAAGCAGACCTGAAACATGAGTTAGGAATTAGGCAGGTGAAGTTGAAGGACCAGAGGCTATGCTGAGGCAGAGAAAGCACAGAGCTAAGAAAGCAGGATATACTCAAGGGACTGAGTATGGTTGAAACAGAATTGGGGGTAAAGAGCATATTGACTGGAGAGGAGGAAGGAAGTGGATCATATGGAGCCTTTTAAGCCATGGTAGAGAGTTTGGACTTAGTAGCAAACCATGGGAAGGTTATGAACAAGGATCAAAAGCTCAGATTTGCATTTTAGAACCATCATCCTGCCTAAAATATGGAGAAAGATTAGAAGGGGACAAGTGTGCTGTCCAGGATATGAGTTAGCAGGCTGTTAATAAAATAATCTAAACGAGAGGAGTTAGTGGCGTAGATTTAGTGTTCTAAAAGTTGGTATGGACAGATGTGGACTAAATTGAGAGATATTTGGGAGTTAGAATGATTACCTGGTTGAAGTTCTATTTATAGAAAGAAGTCAAGGTTGGACTTTGTTTTCCTTTTATGACTTGGCAGTGAAACATTGGTGTTAATTACTGAAAGAATAGGTGGGGTTTTTTCCTTTTTATTGTGTTTAGTTTTAACTTCTTTTGAAGATGAGAAACTTCCACTTTTCCTCTAGCTGAAGAGACTTTAATGAGTAGATGTTTTTGTTTAGGGTCTTTCTTGGCCTCTCAGAGCAAACAAGTTACTCTTTTTCTTTGCAGTCATAACCTTTTTCTCCTTGCCTATTGATCATATTAAAAATTTTCATAAATAAAAAGCACATTTTAAATAGACTTGGGGCCTAAGATTATAGAAGTTTGTACAATAACAAAATTATTTCCCTGAATTCAAGTTTCTGCTTTTCAGATCTAAAAAAAGATTATTTTTTTAAAGCCTTCCAAAGTGCTCTAGGGAATCCATGATTCACATAGGTCTTGTTCTGTGGAAAAGAAAAATTTTAAGACCTTAAGAGATTTCTTCTTTAAGTATTTGCATTAGAAGACAAACATAAACCTAATTTGTGAACTTTGAAAAAAAAAAAAAGGTCTCTGTTCAACTTTTGGTTTTTAAAATACATATTTTTTACAGTTCATGTTTCCAAGTCTCTGAAGGAGCGATTAGGCATGTCAGCTGGTCCCAACAGTGAGGAGGCAGCAGGTAGGTAAACCCTAAGACCAGCTTCTAATATTTTTTTCCTTGCTTCAACAATCTTTACCTTTTCTCTGATTTATTTTCCTGTTGCAGTTAGGTTAGGGCTTGTGTCTTTTGTGATTTTATTTGTTTTGTTTTGTTTTTTTTTAAGTAATTGATGACTCACTAGTATGAATTTTTTTTTAAGATTTGAGAGAGAGAACTAGTAGTGGAGAGGGGGAGAGGGGGGCTGGAGAGAGCGAGAGAAGCAGACTCTCTGCTGAGTAGGAAGTCTAACATAGGACTCAGTCCCAGGACCCGGATATCATGACCTGTGCGGAAGGCAGACGCTTAACTGACTGAGCCAGTGAGACGCCCCATGAATTCTCTTAAAAGATGGCGAAATGATCAGTTCAACATAGCATTAGTAGTAAGAAGCTAGAAACTACCTAAATACCCGACAAAAATTCAACTAAGGTAGTTATGTACAAAAATAATTATTGTCATGAGTCATATTTTGAACAGTCATGATTTGAAAAACTTCTCACATTATATTGAATGAAAAAAGGTTACAAAAGAACACATTGCTTTTGACCTTTAGATTTAGGGTAAGAATCTTATTTTGTGGGGGTGATGAAGTTTATTTTCTTATTATAGAACTTTCTCTCAGAAATAACATCCGTATGTATGATTTCAGTTTTGTAAAGATAAAAATATATGCCTTAGAAAAACACTGCAGAAAATACACCAAAATAATTTTCTTCTCTATATTCTGTACTCTTCCTGTACTCTTAATTTTTAAACCTTTTAAGTTGCAAGATCTAACCACTTAGTGTATATATGTATACAGTTTAAAGAATAGTAAAATGAACCTGTACTCCAGCCATCCTGCTCTTTTGTACCTCACTCTTTTGACTGAACCAGCCTTGCACCCCTCAGTTTGATGCTTTTTAATTTTTATATCTATGCTTTTTAATTTTTATGTCTATGTTTATGAATGGTGTTAGCCTGTGCTTTTCTTTTTTGTCCTATATTAAGATTTTTAACAGCATCATAAAAAGAGAGTCTGATGTTAAACATTCGTACTCTTTTGTAAAGAACCTGGGTTTATTCTTCAGAAACTTTTATAATTTTCTCTTTATTCCTCCCTGCTGTGCTGGGACTTTAGTACAGTAGGTCTAAACATGGCACTTTTGGTTGATTCAGCCCAGTGTTCAGTGGGCCCTTCAAATCTGAGGACTTAGTTCTAGAAAACATTCCTCTCATTTCTCTGAGTATGTCTTCCCACTCTTCTTTTGGTTTTTCTGTGGCTTTCATACCAGACAGAGGCTGGAATTTCAGGACATAGGCTTCACGTGTCTTCTAACCTTGCCTTCATGCTCTCCGCTCCTTGGCTTTTTGTTTGTTTCTTTGGTTTTGATTTTTGTTTCACCTTCTATGGTCTTTGCTTGGCTTTATTATCTAGGTCAGGAATTGACAGACTTTTTCTCTGAAAGGTCAGATAGTAAATATTTTAGGTGGTGCAGTCTCCACAGCTACTCCACTGTGCGGCCATGGCCACATTGGGCCCATCAGCTATAGTTTGCCAAGCCTCTTCTAGATGGCTGGTTTTTTAGTATTCAGTTCCTTTGGTGGGATTTATTTGTGCACCTGTGTTTTTATCTTCTAAGACTTTTTTTTTGTTCTCTGGTTTCTCCCTGTTTCACAGCCTGATTTCGGGCTGCCCTGGAGTTTCTAATTGGAATCTTTAAAAAAAAAAAAAAAGTGTATTATCTTGTCATCTCCATCACTTCTGTTTGTTTTGGTCCACTTTTATTTTTTTTTTTTAAGATTTTATTTATTTATTTGACAGAGAAAGACATAGTGAGAGTAGGAACACAAGCAGGGGGAGTGGGAGAGGGAGAAGCAGGCTTCCCGCAGAGCAGGGAGTCCGATGTGGGACTCGATCCCAGGATCCTGGGATCATGACCTGAGCCGAAGGCAGACGCTTAACGACTGAGCCACCCAAGCGCCCTGTTTTGATCCACTTTTAATGTTGTGGTTTTTTCATAGCTCTTGGGCTTCCTTTGGAGGTTCTAAAGGTCTTATTCCCAAGTGGTCCTCTCTCCAGACTGGGAGACACGAGTGAGGGCTGCCTGAGGCGGGGAGGGCATGCTAAAAGTCAGCTTGTGTGGGTTGCAGGCTGGAAGGCTAGGGGCCCATACCATTGCCACAGTAAGAAAGTTTCTTTCCTTCCCTAACTCTCCTTTTTCCTCTTCTCCCCTCTTCTTTTTCTGCTTAGCATTTGTTGTTGTTCTCCCTCCAGCCCCAACCTAACTTGCTCCCCTCCCCAGCAGATTCTCCTCTTTTCAGGGAGCAGTTCCAGGAGAAAGTCATGACTGGTCCTGCTGCTCTATAGGCCATCCTTACATTTCTACCCACTGTTCTTTTCCTACGAGTTTGGCAGTTTTCTTTGGCTCTGCTGGGAAGAACAGATCTCACTCCTACAGTTTCATTTGTTCTTTTTCTGTTTTTCTATAAATTCAGATAGCTGCTGTCTTATCTCAGAAATCCCTCGATTTATGCTGTGCCAATAGCAGCCTTGTTTTCCACTACTGTTGTGGGTTTATTCTATTTTTAATGTCTTCTCTATTGTTTTGATAAAATTTTGGTAGAGTGGGGAAACAAGATCTTCATGTCACCATTCACGCACTTCCTTGGAGTGGAAATTTTGAGATCAGACTACCATCTTTAAATGGAAGAATTTTTATTTAAAAAGCCTAAGCAAGTAATTCAGTATCTGTTTGAGTGTTTCCTATATACAGGTACTATACTAAAATATTTCAGATAACTACATATAGTCCGTTTTCATGAAGTATCTAGTATGGCTGGAAATGCAGGTAGTTGCAGTGCTGTGATCAGAGAAATAAACTAGATTGGCAGGTGTCAGGTTCTAAACCGAACTCAGTTAAAACTAGGCAGCAAGAGAATGCGACCAGTAGGGCATACTCTCTGTAGAAGGGACAGCATGTTCAAAAAATGAGGTGAAACCAAACATGATGTGTTTAAGGTTGTTAAAGAATATTTTTTGTTTTGGATCTTTCATTAAAAGTTGTCATTCAGGGGCACCTGGGTGGCTCAGTCGGTTAAGCGTCTGCCTTCAGCTCAGGTCGTGATCTCAGGGTCCTGGGATCGAGCCCTGGGGCAGACTCCCGGCTTCTCCCTCTCCCACTGCCCCTCCACCCTGCTCGTGCTCTCTCCCTCTCTCTCTCTCTCACAAATAAATAAAATCTTAAAAAACAAAACTGTCCTTCAGTTATCAAACACCTGTGTACAATCTCCATATTTTTGTTTTTCCCACATTACTTCACTATTTCTTTTAGCCTTTCAGTAATGACGACAAGCATATCTGTCAAATGTGAAATTTGTACTTTAAACAGATGTAGAATGACTAACATATCATTAAAAATAGCACTTCAGTGGCGTGCCAATCTTTGGGCCTTTCCCATCTTCTGTCTCTGTTTTACCTCCTATTCATCCTTCAAATATCACTTAAACATTACTTCCTCTGAAAAGCTTCCCTTAACCAATTCTAGACAAAGGTTGGGGTTCTTCCTCCTACATAGTATTATACTTCCTTTATCAAAGTTATCATTATTGGGGTGCCTGGCTGGCTCAGTAGGGCATGCAGTGTAGCTCTTGATCTCAGGATCATGAGTTCAAGCCCCATTGGGCTTAGAGCTTACTTAAAAAAAAAAAAAAACCCACGAAGTTACTATTACCATACTGTAAACTACATGTGGGCAGAGATTGTGTTTTGCTTATCATTATATTTCTAGCACAGTGTCCAGCACCTGTTATAAATGAATGGAAGAATTAACTTATTGCCATTTTGTTAAGATTTATAATGACAGGTGTCTCCAACTAATAAATGGCTTTGAGATTCTTCAGGAATAAGCTTCTGAATAGAACTCCAACAAATCAGTAATTTTTGCCACCTAAGAGTTTTCATTGAGGGCCACTACCTGAAACGTGCAGTATTTTAAAAGTGAAATTGAAACTAATATACTTTGATCATTTTAATTACCTGCCTACATGATACCACTCTATTAGGACTCTAATAGAGCATAAGTTGTTAAGAGGTGAATGCTAAATACAGTGACTTGTTTTTTGCCCCCCCCCCCCCCGTGCAAACAGAGAGAGTCACTAAAGTTGGTGAGATCCATGTGAAGACATTAGAAGAAATTCTTCTTGAAAAAGCTAGTCAGAAACGTGGAGAATTGCAACCTAAACTCAAGACAGAAGGACCTTCAAAAGTTGATGATTCTACTTTAGGAACAAGAAGCCCGTCCACTATCCGAATCAAAACTTTCTCTGAGGTCCTGGCTGAAAAGAAACATCGGCAGCAGGAAGCAGAGAGGCAAAAAAGCAAAAAGGATGTAACTTGCATCAAGCTAAAGACAGATAGTGAAATTAAAAAAACAGTGGTTCTGCCACCTATAGTTACCAGCAAAGGACAATCAGAGGAGCCCGCAGGTAGAACAAAGTCTATGCAGGAGGTGCACATCAAGACACTGGAGGAAATTAAACAGGAGAAGGCACTGCGGGTACAGCAGAGCTCTGAGAGCAGCACCAGCTCCCAGCCTCAGCTTGAGGCTGCCCCAGGGGCAAGGCGGCTTCTCCGAATCACAAAAAAACCAGGTAACACCACAGTTTGGTCTGGGGGCACCTGGGTGGCTCAGTCGTTAAGCTGTTAAGTGTCTCCCTTGGGCTCAGGTCATGATCCCAGGGTCCTGGGATCGAGCCCCACATCGGGCTCCCTGCTCCGTGGGAAGCCTGCTTCTCCCTCTCCCACTCCCCCTGCTTGTGTTCCTGCTCTCGCTGTCTCTGTCAAATAAATAAATAAAATCTTAAAAAAAAAATAAAGTAATGGGGAGCCTGGGTGGCTCAGTCGTTGAGCGTCTGCCTTCGGCTCAGGTCATGATCCCAGGGTCCTGGGATCGAGCCCCGCATTGGGTTCCTGCTCCGTGGGAAGCCTGCTTCTCCGTCTTCTACTCCCCCTGCTTGTGTTCCCTCTCTCACTGTGTCTCCCTCTGTCAAATAAATTTTAAAAAACAAAACAAAACCAAAAAAACACCACAGTTCGGTCTGTAGTACCATTTCCCCAGATCATATTTCAGGGTCCAGAGTGCTAACCATTACACCATGGAACCCACTTCCCCAGATCATATTTCAAAGGGCAGTATTCCACAGGATTTTCATAGTTCTGTGAGAACTTTACTCAGATAACTTTGAAAACCACTGGATCAAATGAAGTTAAGCTCTTTCTTTACAGGAGTGCTATATAGACCTTTGATATTTTAAGGTGCATTTTGAAACTTCATGAGGGTGAATGGGCTTCATCTACAATTTTATTTGTCCTATCTTATCTTTATTTTCATTAAGAAAAATTTTACTTAGGGCGCCTGGGTGGCTCAGATGGTTGAGCGTCTGCCTTCGGCTCAGGTCATGATCCCAGCGTCCTGGGATCGAGTCCCGCGTCGCGCTCCCTGCTCCTTGGGAGCCTGCTTCTCCCTCTGCCTCTCTCTCTCTCTGTCTTTCATGAATAAATAAATAAAATCTTTAAAAAATAAATAAAAAATAAATAAAAAAAAAGAAAAATTTTACTTAAACTGTTCCTGAAGTTGCAACCTAAATGAAATAATTAATGATGCGTTTAATGTGAACATAGGTGTAAAAGAAGAGAAGAAACTTCAAGAAGGAAGTGACGTTGCTTCCCAGAGCAGTGTTATTAGAACAGAGGCTAAAGAGGTGAGTTTAAGATCATTTCATACTTTTGTTCATGGCAAGCAAAGGCCAGATGAATGATAAAATGTGCCTTTTAGTTATAGCATAATAAATTTTTAACGCTTCAAACAGTCTTTCATTATGCTTATACTATTCTATGAGCATTTTCTGTACTTCTGTTTATAATAGTGTTCTCTGCCCCCTTAAAGTTGTCTTTTTTAATTTGGCCATTTAACGTTTTTGAAGCTAAGCATAATGGCACTTATTTTACAAAACTTGGGGACTTTTTTTTTTTTTAAGAATTAAAAACGCTATAATTCTGCAACCCAGACATAACAACCATTAGCTTTTTTCATGGGTTTTTCTCAAGCCTTTTATTTATGTACATATGTATGTGAACTTGTTCATTGTTTAACTCGTGTGTAGAAAGTAATTGAGAACTCTGTAGTGTATCATTTTGCAGCCTGCTTTAATTTTACTATATTCATAATTCTTCAGGATGTTTGTTTTTACTGACCATGACATAATGTTCTATTACATCAATATAGTCTGCTTCTGGACATTTATATTTTGTTTTACACAGTTAAGGTAATGAACATCCTTGTCCATAAATCCTTGTGCAAGTGTCTGATTATTTAGGAGGCATTTGTATTTGACTTAGGGTCATGATTGTCTAAGCCTATAAAATTGGGGTTTTCATTGTTCCATATATCTTTAACTTTTCATCTTTAGCTTGGTATTTTCTATTTAATATCAAAGAGCAAAAGCTCTGGTGTACTGGGTCGTGTTAAACTCTGCTTGACATGGATGTCAGCCCAGTAACTTAAACAAGATTTTCTTAATCGAGATGAAATTGACATATTTATATTAGTTTTGATATATTTATATTAGTTTCAGGTGTACTTTTTTCTTTTAAACAAGTTTTTGTTTTGTTTTTAAGATTTTATTTTTTAAGTAACCTCTACATTCAGCATGGCGCTCGAACTCACAACCTCGAGATCAAGAGTCACTTGCTCTACCAACTGAGCCAGTCAGGCACCCCAAGTTTTTTCTCGGTGGTGGTGGTGGTGGTTTTAATTGAGCTATAAAGCCTGGTAACTTACAAATAATAATTATCGTACAGATTGTTAGAGGTATGAAATTTTAAATCTGTCATTTAAATTTGCCCACAGGCTTCAGAAGAGACCACAGGAATTGGCATCACCAAAATTCAAGTCAAGAGGTGTGAGACCATGAGAGAGAAGCACATGCAGAAACAGCTGGAGAGGGGCACCTCACAGAAGGAAAAATCAGTTTTGACACCCCTCCGGGGAGACGTAGACTCTTACAATACTCAGATAGCAGAGAAGCCGGTGCTCACTACAGTGCCAGGCCTCACACGGCACCTGACCAAGCGGCTTCCCACAAAGCCATCCCAAAAGGCAGAGGTAGAAACCTCAGGCATTGGAGACTCAATACTGAATGTGAAATGTGCAGCACAGACCTTGGAAAAAAGGGGTAAAGGTGAGTGGTTTTTCTAGTGTATCTTACTTTAGGATTTGAAAATTACCAAGTTTCCAGTAACTCCCTAGCAACAATTAAGTTAAATTCCATTTGTGTTGTGTACTTTTCACACAGGTGGAAAGTAATATTTGTGATAATTCTACTTAAAAAGACAAAGCTCCTTTCTCAGAATTTAAAATTGCTGTTTAAAAAGCTTTGTCTAGGGGCACCTGTGTGGCTTAGTCAAGTAAGCCTTAGGCTCAGGTCACGGGCTCCCTGCTTAGTGGGGAGTCTGTTTCTCCCTCTCTCTCTCCCCCTCCCCCTGCTCGCTCACTCAAAGAAATAAAATCTTTCAAAAATAAAAGTAAAAAAAATAAAAAGCTTTGTCGAAAGGTTGCTTTGGCAGCACATATACTACAATCGGAATGCTCCAGAGAGGATTAGGATGGCCCCTGTGCAAGGATGACACACAAATTTAGGAAGCATTCCGTATTTTTAACTAAGTCATGGGGACGTAACATAGCATGGTGACTGTAGTTAACAGTACTATATTACGTATTTGAAAGTTGCTAGGAGAGTAGATCTTAGAAGTGCTCACACAAAACAATTGTAACTGTGTATGGTAATGGATTAACTAGACTTACTGTGGCAATCATATAGTCACAATATGTACAAATATTAAGTCATTATGTTGTATACCCAACACTAATAGAATGTTATATGTCAATTATATATCGGGGGGGAATAAAAGCTCTCTGTGATGCATCTTTCCTCTGGTTTTGAAGAAGGAAAACACCAGGGAATGGAAGAACAGTAGCGAATTCAAGAGCCAGTGAAAGGAATTGAGTATACATCTACATTATGACCACATTGTAGTGCACATTGTTTATGGGTTATTTTCACTTTGGGGGCGTGTATGATATTTCTAGTATTGTGAAGGAATTTTGATATCTAAAGTTACTCTCCATGTAAAAGAGGAATTATTCTAACTATTAATCAGATGTTTTCTGTCCCTTGTAGCTAAACCCAAAGTCAATGTGAAGCCATCTGTGGTTAAAGTTGTCTCATCCCCCAAATTGGCTCCCAAACGCAAGGCAGTGGAGGCCCACCCTGCTGTCATTGCAGCTGTGAAGCCACTCAGCTCAAGCAGTGTCCTACAGGAAAGCCCCACCAAAAAAGCAGCTGTGGTAAGAAGTAGATCCAGCTAAATGGTGCTTTGGTCCCTGTGGGAGGAAAGCAGGAAAGAGTCACTCTGCTAGCTCTGTGTGCTACTTTTGCCATTTCCGAAGCATTTTAGTTGTTTAGGTTGTTACTGTATTCTACATTCACAGACATTTTTGGAGTGGCAGAATGGAAATTTTTTTTTTTTTAAGCTAATTCTTGGGTGGCAAGATACTTTATTTCTACACTCAGCCTTTGGATTATTTATTCTCAGATTCCCAGGCTTAAAGAATGATAACCATGGTTCTAAGAAAGTGGCAAAGTAAATGAATATGCTCAAATAAAAAAAGCCTGACTCCCACTGAGTTAACCTTCCTTTGACTTTTGTAGGCGGTTGTCCCACTCCTTTCTGAGGACAGGTCAGTCACTGTGCCTGAGATGGAAAAACCTAGAGACAGGTAAACCTTGCAATTCTTCTTAACCAAACTTTAGGCCACTATTATTATTTATGTGCTCTAGAGAATGACACTGCTAAATAAATCTTCAAACATGTCCAACTTAGCCACTCAGACCAACTTAATAGCGAACTTAAATCTGCTAAACTTCCAATTAATTACAAGAAAACATATGCATCCAGGGTTGCTGTTCTCGTTTGGTGCCACTGTTTATATGTTGATTGCATTATTTTTGCAGTGTTTTCAATATCTGTCTGAATTGTGCTTTAAACGGGTGAAAATGCCTCGCCAAATCAGTAAAAAAATTCTGTGTTATGTTGTTAATCAGAAATAACTCTTTGTGTTCCTGAGACCCAACGTCAGACCATTCATTCAACCATTAACAAAGGGCAGTTTTCTAATAATCTTTTGGGTTTTTTCCCTTGCAGTCTTGTGCTGCCTCCAACCCAGTCCTCTTCAGATTCCTCCCCACCAGAAGTATCTGGCCCTTCTTCATCTCAGATGGCCACGAAAACTCGCCGACTCAGCTCCACCTCAACAGGAAAGCCCCCGCTTTCTGTGGAGGATGATTTTGAGAAACTAATATGGGAGATTTCAGGAGGCAAATTAGAAGCTGAGATCGACTTGGATCCTGGGAAGGATGAAGATGACCTTCTGCTTGAGCTATCAGAGATGATTGATAGCTGAAGGCAGTAGAACATTTAAAAAAAAAAAAAACAAAAACTGGACTTAGTTTCATCTATTATAACATTTACCCAAGATGATCATTTCTTTAGTCTAGAATTTGCCCCCAATCAGACGTATACCTCTGAATTACCTGTATGTGTCCTGGATTCCTTGGGGTCAGATTCTTAAAGTCCCTTGATAACCATTTTGTCCATTCGATACCATGGTTTAGCATCTATGAGAAAAATGTTCTTACACCTCCCCACAGAAAAACTGAGAGGGAGAACCAAGTCAAAGGGTGCAAGAGAACTTAGTGACTCCTTGAGGTGTTTGTCAGTTTGGGCTTTTTTCCTCTTTGCTGTAGTATTTCTTTTATGTATTGTCTTAATGTACTTATTAATGTAACCTGAGTTTGAAAAGGATGAAGACCAGCTGCTGCCAGTGAGGACCAAATTTCACACTACCACTAAACAAAAGATCCACTCTGTCTGCGTTAAATTGTATGTCTTTTTAAAGGTATTTGGAGATTCAACTAAGCTTTAGAGAAGGCTGAGCAGCTCTGGAAGCTTGTAATCTGGACATAACTTTTCAACCTGATTTCCATGCTTCTGCTGCTCTGTCAGCCTCTGAAGAGCAATAGCTAATTTATTATTACTGTAATTTTTTAAGGCTTTAAAGTGCCTCAGGGGTCCTCTGAAACTAATTTTCTATTTCTGGGATTCCCTGGATTCTTAATAAGAGATGGTGACATAATGATTAGAGGAATTCTTTTTTTAGCATGAAAGTTGTCCTTTCTCTTCTTCAGTACTTGCCTCCTACTGGCATTGAATTCTCACAGGGATTAAAATTGGTTAATTTTTTATTTCTAACTCTCCCAGCAAACTCCTCTTGCCCAGTTATTTATTTGGTGCCCTTTAACCACCAGAGGGGAAAAAATGAGCTCCTCCAAGCTGCCGATATTTATCTGTGGACTGGAGCAGCCCACCCAATGGTACTGTAGCAGGGATGACCGAGACGCTCTGGGGGTGTATTGTATACCTTCCAGTTTTCTTCATGTCTGAATTGAATTCTCTTTTCTTGATGTCAGTCTCCTGCATATCACCTCAAGGTTTAGACTTGTGAAGGAACAAGTATGATGGGGATACGAGTCTTGAAAGGAGACCTATTGTACATAATCAGAAGGAAGAGGAAAAAAGGACTTGTCCGTTTTGATACTTTGCTGTAGGTGGCCAGTTTTGTTCCTCATAGGGAAATCTGATCCACCTGTCGTGTTGGCTCCTAAGGAACTGCTGTTGTAAGCGGCTCATCAAGAGTTGAACCTCATGTAGCCTTGTTGGGAATATGGAAAAGGAAGAAAGCCACAGGACTGCCCATTCAGTCTTGGGAAGATCTGGATGATTCTGCACACAAGCAAAAATGACTTGAAATTTATGTACAGACACCTCTCTACCAATCCATCTTCAGCTGACTGAATGTTGTATAATAGCCCTTCTCCAAAGCAGGGGTGGAATGTTCTGGTTTCACCACAGATTTTCTACTCATTTCATTTTTGGAATCAGCTTAAAGATTCCAGGTCCCTTTTGTATATAACCTTTATTCTTTTTCTTTTTTAAAAATAATTTTGTTTCATATTTAAAGTCCTTGTATTAGTCAATGATTCATGTTCAGCATTATTTGAACCATTTGCCATTACAAGAAAGAGAAATACTTATTTGTGTTTTAAATAAAACTGGTGTAGGAAAGTCTGGACTTAATGAGTTAAGTGGTCATACATCACTTCAGCCTAGGATCTGCCTCAATGGGGGGGGTCCAGTCAGAATGTTGTTGGCCTCTTTTGTAAATGCTCCAATTTCACAGATGCTGTGTGGCTTTAGAAACTTCTCACAAGGACGTATTGCCAAACTTACCCAGAAGTATGCTGTTTTAGCCACATATACTTTAGGAAAGAACTAACATTAAATGGGGAGGATTTTATCATTGTTAACTCAGGTAATGCCATTAATTTTTTAAAGATTCATTTTTTTATTTTAGAGGGCATGTGCACACCAGTGGGGAGATGGGCAGAGGGGGAGAGAGAATCCCAAGCATATTCCCATTGAGCACGGAGCCCGATGCAGGGCTTGATCTCACGACCCTGAGATCAAGACCTGAGCGGAAATCAAGAGTTGGACGTTTGACGATTGAGCCACCTGGGGACCCCAATGCCATTTAATTTTTTTAAAGGAAAGAGGATTTAGAAGTGATCATAGATGGATTCATTTAAGAACTTTGAAGCATGAAGTCATATAAAAAATTTCAGAGAAGTCCCAAGTGTTAAGTAGTATGCCAGTTTTTAAGGGAATACACATAAATTTGTTAGCAACCAACAACATAGATTTTTTTCCTAATAAGTTCAACTTTTCACAAAAACAGATTGGGGGCTTCTGGGTGTCTGGCTCCCCTGTTAGCAAGGGAGTCTGCTTGAGATTCTCTCCCTTTGCCCCAACCCCCTTCGTGCACACTTGTGTGTGCACGCCCTCTCTCTAAAATAATCTTTAAAAAAAAAATCAGAAACATTCTGTATTGGGTTTTAAGTGATGATGGTTTTCAGTTTTAACAGAAGAGGGCCCAAATGGGGACCCCGGGGTGGCTCAGTCAGTTAAGCATCTGCCTTCAGCTCAGGCAATGATCCCAGAACCCTGGGATCAAGTCCCGCATCAGGCCCCTTGCTCAGCAGGGAGCCTGCTTCTCCCTCTGCTTGTGCTCTTTCTCTGACAAATAATCTTTTTAAAAAAAAAAAAAGGGTCCAAATGTGTTGCAGTTTGGCCACAGCCGAAGTTTCAAGATAGTTTGTGACTCATGTTTTTGTCTCAAGATAAATGATCCCTAAAGTTCTGACCTTAACTTCAAATCCCAATAGGTCCTCTCAGATGACCAAAACAGAGTTTTTCACCTCTCCAATCTTTGAAACCACCATAGAGTTAGATTGATAACTAATACTGTTTCAGAAATAAAGCTTAATCTATGTTGATCAAAGTACAGTGTTACTTTTCTAAAATTGTGGCCTCATTTTGCTGGAATATTTCGGCAATTCTTTAAAATGGATTGCTTTTTGGGCGCGTGGGTGGCTCAGTTGGTTAAGCGACTGCCTTCGGCTCAGGTCATGATCCCGGAGTTCCGGGATCGAGTCCCACATCGGGCTCCCTGCTCAGCAAGGACCCTGCTTCTCCCTCTGACCCTCCCCCCTCTCATGTACTCTCTCTCTCATTCTCACTCTCTCAAATAAATAAATCTTCAAAAGAATGGTGCCAGAGTTGATACAAATTCATGCACATATCTCTCAAAGAATTATCTACTCCATAATATCAATAATGCATACTCAATAAAATAATATTAAAAATTTTTTAAAAAATGGATTGCTTTTTGTCAGTTTAGCAACAGGAAATGGGTGGTCTCCAGTTGCTGTCCAATATTTAAACAACATGCTATGCTACACTGGAAGATCACTGCTTTAGAAAGTATATTCCTATGTGCAACTGGGTTTGATCTACTGACTTTCAAGAGCTCTTTATTTCTTAAATCTGATTTTAGGAAGCTGCTTGAAAATCTTTGCAAGTTCCCACAACCCACACATCAGACTGCATTAATAACTTATTCTCCAAACTGTGCTTCAACTTAATTGAATTTGCAAAATGATGTTAAGGGCATGAGCATAAAGAAAATTTTTGATCTTGACCATTTTCTTAACATTTTACAATAAAATGAGCAAAGAATCAGCAAAAATTAAGGAGTCACAGATTTCCTGGGAGCCTAAGAGGAAAGTACTCAGGTTGCATTTAACTGCTAAGGTGTTACAGAGGCTGAATCTATGGTGATGAGCAAGAAGCAGTGGATTCAAACTTGGCATTGCCTGTCCCTGGGTTTTTTGGGTCTTTGGCCCCATGTCTGGTTTGTCCTCAGGAGTAAGACAACAGCCTGCAGAGTTAAGAGTAAGGGTAAGCAGAGCCAGTCAGATTCTGAAGAAAGAGAAGAAAAAAATATTCAAATAGCCTCTTGTTTGTTGAATAAGTGAAATAGGGAATTGGCTGGATCAAGAAGACTAGAAACGAGAAATTTCAAGGGAAGAGTGAAGCAAAATGGAAGGAATCCTTACCTGACAGGTGTATACGGTGAAGGAGGTCCCTTCTTTGGGTTGGGGATCTCAAGGAGGGTGGCCGAGCTTAGAAAAACAAGGGAACGTGAAATTAACACATCAGCATAACTGCCACAAAGTATTTTGGACTCCCGCCCCTTGAAGAGACTCAAAATAGAACCTAAATTCTAACCATCACTTAACACTACTGTCACCAGGGAGAGGAGTATGATGCAAACCCCTGCCCAAGAAATAGAGGAAGTACTTTTAAGAGAAAGGTATCAGGGGGCACCTGGGTGGCTCAGTTGGTTAAACCACTGCCTTCAGCTCAGGTCATGATCCCAGGGTCCTGGGATCGAGCCCCACATCGGGCTCCCTGCTCATGCAGTAAGCCTGCTTCTCCCTCTGCCTGCCGCTCCCCCTGCTTGTGCTCTCTCTCTGTCTCTCGCTATCTCTGTGTGTCAAATAAATAAATCTTAAAAAAAAAAGGTATCAGGAATGAAGTAGGTGCAAGCATAAGTAGATGATGCTATAGAGGGAATGAGAAGTCTGTTTGAGACTGGTCAGGAAAGGCTTCCTTGAGGTGCCAGAGCTGGAGTTTTGTGTAGCTTGCCTAGCAAAGTAGATGGTGTGAGCTACTAACAAGGCCAACACAGCAGGTAAGGTTTGTTTACAGTGACCTCTGACCATCCCATTGCTACTTTCTCAGGCTCTGCTTTGTCTTATTCTTGCTCTCAATTTGCTGTCAACCATTCTTGGCTGAAGTGTAAACTGATCTTTTAATCAAAGATTTTAAATGCAAATCTGAGTCACTGCTTTGAAAAGTCTTCCAATCTTTCCCTCTCCCTCCACAATTATATTCAGGTCCCTTAGCATGGCATGCAAGGCCCTGTCCTCCCAGCCTCCTGCCTCACCCTTGATGCTCTCCACTCCAGTAAAACCAAGCCGTCCACTTCCCTTGAACACTAATCTCTCTCCAGCCCTTTGCCTTTGTTAACGCTGTCTTTCTCCCTAGAAGTCTCTTCTTTTGGCTAACTCCTACACATCCTATGGCCTCCAGGCTACTCTCCCAACACTCTATTCTTCCTCTCCCCAAATTGGGGTTTGGTGTCCATCCACCAGGCATACGCTATTTGTTTACCTCCAACATTTTTAAAATTGTTTACCTGTCCATCCTCCTCAGCAGAACAGAAACTTGAGACAGAGATTCTTACTGACCTATATATTCTCAATACCTAGTATCGTAACAAAATACCACAGACTGGATGGTTTAAGCAACAGAAATTTCTCTCAGTTCTGGAGGTTTGAAGTCCAAGACAAGGTGTTTGAAAATTTTTTTCTGAGGCTTCTCTATGGTTTGCAGGTGCCACCTTCTCTGTCCTCATGTGGTCTTTCCTCTACGTGTACATGTCTGTATTTTAATGTCTCGACGGACACCAGCTGTCTTGGATTAGGGCCCACCCATATGATTTCATTTAACCTTAATTACCTCTTTAAGGGCCTATCTCCAACTACAGTCACATTCTGAGATGCTGGGGGGTTAGAGCTTCAACATATGCGTTTCAGGGAGCACACTTCAGCCCACAACAAAAGGCATTCAATAAACATTTGCTGAATGAATGAAAAAGCTCTTGGCCCATATACCCATGTCAGCGGCTGCCGATCTTTGCTAGACTGCCCTGTCTTTGCAACCCCATTCTTTGGAATGCTTATCAATAATATTCAGCAAGCCGTGAGATGGAAGGAACTTCCAGCTAAGAGGAAGGATGTTCTTCAGTATTTAGGAGGCCCGGAACTGACTCTTTTCTTAGGGTGCATCTCTTTGGTATTTGTTGTTGTTTTTTAAAAATTTTATTTTTAAGTAATCTCTACATACACCCAGCTGGGGCTCAAACTCACAACCCCAAGATCAAGAGTTGCACGTTCCACTGAATGAGCCGGCCAGGCGCCACTCGGTATATCTCTTTGGACCAGTGATTTTTTTTTTTTTAAGATTTTATTTATTTGACAGAGAGAGACACAGCGAGAGAGGGAACACAAGAAGGGGGAGTGGGAGAGGGAGAAGCAGGCTTCCCACGGAGCAGGGAGCCCGATGCGGGGCTCGATCCCAGGACCCTGGGATCATGACCTGAGCCAAAGGCAGACGCTTAACGACTGAGCCACCCAGGCACCCCTGGACCAGTCATTCTTAATTAAGATTACTATCTTAATTAAGCTATTTTACAGACACCTCTGGGAGTGTCATGAAAATCTCAAATTTTGCAAGAATGTTATGATTAGTTGTAATTTAAAAAGAGAAACTAGTTTCATAGTACCTTCCACTACCTAATGAATTTATGGAACTGGTGATACAGTTGACCCTTGAACAACACCAGTCTGAACTACACAGATCCACTCATATATGGATTTTTTTTTTAAAGAGTTGACAGCAAAAGCCACAAGGCATTTATCTACAAATGCCCAACCCAGTCTTCAAGGGACCCAACAGAAGGCAACTGATGCAGGCGTCAAGTCTGCCACCCTCTAAATTCTCGGGAGGCCTCTGAGGCCCTCAGCAGCCCCTGGAAGCCCCAGGACCCGGCAGGGCAGTAGGTCGCCCTGTGTGCCTACAGGGTGATCAAGTTGAGTGCCAAAGGTTGGTGGGCAGGAGGGTGGGCTGAGACAAAAGCCCAAAGGGGTGGGATGGCACTGCATAGGGAGCCCTGATCCCTGAGTTCTCTGAGCACTGGGCTCCCAGAGGCCAGTGAACTCACGTGTGGCTGCAGCTGCCCATGGCCACGGGCCTGTGGTATACCTCCAGGCCACTGGGGCAGATGTACTGTGCATCCAGGCCCTTGTCACAGCCCACAGGCCCACCTGGGGGCTGCCCCTGCTAAACCAAAGCCTCCAGGCTACAGAACAGCACTATACTGGGGCCAGGCCTGCCACGACCCTGTCCCCTCCCAGCCTGGCTAGCCTATACTCAGGTTTTTTTCAATGAATATATGTACAGTACACTGTAAATTTTATTTTCTCTTATGATTTTTTTTTAAGATTTTATTTATTCGAGTGAGAGAGAGAACATGAGCGGGGGGAGGGGCAGAGGGAGAAGCAGACTCCCCACTGAGCAGGGAGCGGGATGCGGAACTCTATCTTAGGACCCTGGGATCATGACCTGAGCCGAAGGCAGATGATTGATAGACTGAGCCACCCAGGCGCCCACTGCCTTGTTATTTTAAACAATGCTGCAATGATTACATTATATCACACATGTAAGTTTACCTGTAGGTTTAAATATCTAATAGTGCAGCTTAATAATTTATATTTCCACCACTCTTTGATCTTTGTCTATGGCTTCTCAGTGTAGTTTAACATGCATGCCTCATAATGAGTGAAGTTGGGCATCTTTTCATATGTTGGAAGACCACCTATATTTCCTTTACTATAAACTGATTGTTCACCCACCTCCATTGCCAATTTTTATTTTGGATCTTTGTGTCAGTTTCTGGCTGCAAATTCTTTAATCTTTAACAGAGGTGGGCTCTATTTTTCCAGCATTTGAATCTGGCCTGAGATGTGAACTGTATACTCGTTCCAAGCCTGGCCTTTAAAAGGTACTGTTGGCTTCAGCTTTGGTTTTTTGGAGGTCTGGGCCACCATTTAAGAAAGTCATCCTAGGGGTGCCTGGGTAGCTCAGTTGGTTAAGCATCTAACTCTTGATTTCGACTCAGGTCATGATCTCAGGATCATGAGACTGAGCCCCCCACCACCACCACCTCATTGGCTCCACACTGGGTGGATTCTCTCTCTTAAGATTCTCTCTCTCCCTCTCCCTCTGCCCCCCACCCCAACAGGCATGCGCTCACACTCTCTCTTTAAAAAACAGAAAGAAAGCATCCTACTCTGCAAGACAGACCAGGTGTGAGGCCCTGAGGCTGCACAGACGTGGAGATGGAGCCAAGTGAGGCCAGCTTTACACACACACACACACACACACACACACACACACACACACACACACACCCCAAACCCTTAAATATGCCTTCTGGAGCAAAAACAAATTGCCCAACTGAGAGCTGCCCAAATTCTTGACTCACAAAATCATGAATTATAACAAAATAGTTGTTGTTTTAAACTACCAAGTTTTGAAATATTTCTTTCACAGCAATAGAGATGAGAAAAGCATTTTTTTAAAGCTCTTTATATACTAGTAAAATTAGCCATTTCTGTTTGACGTGGTACAAACATACTTCTCCCTGATCTTTGACTCTGCTTACTGTGGTGGTGTTTTAGTCACCCAAAACTTTATGTGATTTTTACATAATTGAATTTATCACTTTTTCTTCTAAAAACCAGCGAGAGCATACAATTGAGAAAAAGACAGTTGTTAAGAAGAAAGAGGCAATGTTTATGATTAAACTCGATAAACTAGCAAGAAGAAACTAAAAACTAAAGAAAACTGAAAAATTCCCAAAGACTCAAAGGGAAATTTGAACAAATAGACATAAGGTAGTTTAAAAAAATTGATTCTAAGTTTTTCTCAAGTTTAATGTAATCATAGTAAAAATACCAGAAGGATTCTTTTAATTAGATAATTCTAAAATAAGAACAGCTAAGAAAGTTCTATCGACTTCTACAGTCCTACCAAATAAGGAAAATCATACAGTACTTACAAGAGTGACACTGGAAATACACAAAGATCAACTGGGCAAAATATAAACTATACATATATACATACACTTGTATATTATAAATGTGGCATTTTATTTTTTAAAAAAATTATTTAAGATTTTATTTATTTATTTGACAGAGAGAGACACAGTGAGAGAGGGAACATAAGCAGGGGAAGCAGGAGAGGGAGAAGCAGGCTTCCCATGGAGCAGGGAGCCAGATGCGGGGCTCAATCCCAGGACCCCGGGATCATGACCTGAGCCGAAGGCAGACGCTTAACCAACTGAGCCACCCAGGCGCCCTATAAATGTGGCATTTTAAATTAAATGGGGAACAATAGTTTTTTGTAAATGGTAATGGTAAAACTGGGTAGCTGTCTAGATATTATAAAGTTCTATCAGTTCTAGGATATACTGGGATAACATTTTAGATGGAAAAAGATTTAAATGTAAAAAAGCAAAATCACTTAAGAGAAAAAATAAGGGCGCCTGGGTGGCTCAGCCAGGTAAGCATCCCACTCTTAATTTTGGCTCAGGTCATGAACTCGGGGTCATGAGATAGACCCCTGCATCAGGCTCTGTGCTCAGCCAGGAGTCAGCTTGAGATTCTCTCTCTCCCTCTTTCTCTCTTTCTAAAATACATAAATAAATCTTTAAAAATAAAGGAAAAAACAAATCTCATGAGTTTTATAATCAGATGACTGGTTATAGGGATCAATCCCCAAAAGTTTAGGAATCATGACTTCAGAGACAGGAAATTGCAAGTGTAGCTAAGCATCTCTGCATCTGAAATGAGACAGGTATGATAGTTTCTTCCATCCATGCCACCTTGGAATTCAACTGATCCTGTTTACTTTGTGGACAACATAACCCTCTATTGGGATTGGAGGGGGGACTTTTTTTTTAAAACAATTATTCCATGCAGTTTCTAGCTTTTTATATTTCAAAACTCACTTTCATATCCTTTGATGTCAACATTTTTATGAGGTATTAATATCATCCTCAACAGAAGACCTCAGTTTAAGCAAGTTATGATACTGCCACTTGCCCCTGTCCCCTTGGAGGAATCCCTTCAACTCCGATCTCAGTTTCTCCATCTGTAAAATGGGTATTCTGGTCAAATACCATTTCTGCCAGGCCTCAAGCCACTGACAAAACCTAACAGATTCCAGCTCCTCCCTTCCCAACTGTGTTACCCTGGAAACGACGCGTTCCATCCAACACGGAGGCCTTGCTGAGTCCACACACATGCTACCCCTTCACTGAAATCCCCAACCCCACGATGAAAGACCCTGTCATCTCCATCTTGGTGACAACGAAGCCGAGACACGGCAAGGCTGAGGAACTTACCCCTTGGTCAAACACACCGTAAGCGAGTTGCATTTGGGCCCAGCCATCAGATTTCAGGGCTTCCCCGCTAGCCATGCCCTGTCGCCACCTTACAGTAAAGCCCCACAAAGGAGACGGAAGTGGAATCGGCTACACAGCGAACCACAGCGCCTCGCTTTTGAATTCGAATTGTCTGTGGCTGCGAGGGCCAGGTGTGGGGGGCCCCCCCGAACTGGGGCTTCTCGCCACCATACCCTCTAGACGGCGATGCGGCCCATCATGCCTAAATTCCAGGGAAACAGGCCTTAGGAAAAGCACTAGACCAACCCATCTCACAGAGAGAGGCACGCAGTGTGACCACTCGACTGTTTAAAGCCGACACATAAAATGGAGCCGTGATGGCGCCGGAGTCCGCGCCACTTCTCGAGGCGGCCGCCCAAGCGAAGCCCCTCGGCACCTCCTCCAGACTGCCTCCAGGTGGCGCTGGAGGACCGACTCACGTTCTAAAGTGCACAGCCTCCTTCTGGCTTCCCTCAGGGGATATAGAGCACAGAGAAAAGCAACACCCATGCTAGAGAGGCATTTCCCAGGAGCCGCCCCAGGTCGCCTCGCGTGCGCCATACACTTCCGCTTCCGGTTCTTTATTCCGGAAGTTGCTTTCTGAGGTAGCGCGCGGTCTTTGTCGGCTTCCACCATGGCGTACCGTGGCCAGGGCCAAAAAGTGCAGAAGGTGATGGTTCAGCCCATCGTATCCTACGCAGGATGTCAGGACTAGGAGGTTCGGAGCAGACCGAGAGCAGGCCTGAGGGAGCGGAGTGCAGACCCACATCCCATGAGCCCCCGGGGCCCCTGTGGCCGGGAGAAAGCGCGGGTAGTTGAAGACCGGGTGGGAGGTGGGCTTGGGCCGACCCCTGCGGTGGGAAATGCAGGAGGGGCGCGGATGAGCGAAAGGAAGACAGCTTTAATTAGGAACTGAGTGAAAGTGGGAGTCGTCGGTCTCGGGGAGGAGGAAGATGTCGGCACCAAGAAATTCCAGGAGAGTAAGAGTGGGCGGGGATTCCTTCAGAACCTTTCGGGGAACCCCTAACCAGTGCCTAGCTGGACACTATTCATTGCATGGGCACCGCACCTCGTGTTGAGAAAACAAGGGCGAGATGGGGGTAGAATCGACCAGTGTCGGGGGGCACCGTCTACTCTGTGCGTGTATTTTTCCCTTAACCATTGGTACAGAATCTCATCTTCAGATACTTGCAAAATGTACGTAAGTTAATCTGTTCTCTGTTGTTTTGTAATTCCTTTTTAAGTAAGAGTTGAATTTATTTGGCTATTTGTGTCATCCTGTCTGATCAGCGTGTTCTAGAGTTAAAAATAGGTGGAACTGGGGAGGTTGGCCGGCTCAGTCGGTAGAGCAAGTGACTCGATCTTGGAGTAGTGAGTTCGAGCCCCACGTTGCGTGTCGAGATTACTTTAAAAAATTAATAATAAGTGAAACTAGAGATTGAAGGGGTATTTGAGGGGAAGGGGCTCAGGGAAAGCTCTAATGTAATGAAATGTCAACCCCAAGCATTGAGAGAATTGTGTCATCATTTGCAAGACCAAAATCACTAATTTCAAAACAAATCCTGGCAGACATGACTGGTATTTGGGTACTTTTGTTGGTAGTAATTATGGTTAGAACATTGGAACCTCTCTCCTTTTTTTCTCCTGGGATGAAACATTGGAAGAAGAATCCTATCGACTTTAAACCAGGTAGTAAGGTGGGAGGGGACGACTTAAATATAGAAAAGATGCCAAAAAAGGAAGAGGGGAGGGAGAGGTTCAGAGGCTGTTGTGACAGCCCGCTTTCCTTTGGGGGGATTTTTAGCAACTCAAATTGTGAGGTGGTAGGGCAAAGTATTTAAATTATTTTGGAAAGAAAATGTAGTTTCTGTTACTCTGACAAATTTTAGTGTGTGATAACATATTTGGAAACAGATTAATTTCAAGCTATTGTAGTTTTTTTTTTTAAGTAATCTCTACAGCCAACATGGGACTCCAACCCACAACCCCAAGATCAAGAGTCACACGCTTCACCAACTGAGCCAGCTAGTTGCCCCAAGCCATTGTAATTTTTAATCACCAAATTTGAGGGTCCTTCCCCTAGTTGTTAAATGTGAGGGAAGCTAGGAACCTTAGAGAAAGCTGTTTTGAAGCTGGATTTTGCTATAGCAGATAAGAAAGAAGCCCTTGATCATTGGAAATTACTGCTTTGTGCTACACTGTCAATTTGCAGTCTAAATGCATTGAGATGAGAAGCAGTAAGAAATATGATTGAGTCCCAAGACCACAGGAAAATTATTAACTTAGTGCTAATATAGCATTTATTGAGAATGTTTCTTGGCAAGTAATTAGTCTTGGTTATCAATTCTTGGATATGATTCAAGTAGTTAAAATTCTTGGCTTTTACTTTTTAAGGTTTTCTTTAGGAGCCATTATTTCTCTATTGTTTGACCAGAGTGACTGGGTTTTGTTCACTTGTTTTCTTAACATAACAATTTTTTTTCAGAGATCTCGAATTCAGGTGTGGCTTTATGAGCAAGTGAACATGCGAATAGAGGGCTGTATCATTGTGAGTACCCAGGATGTTTTATCTCATAGCAGTAAATGATTTCACAAAAATGCCCAGCCAGAGCAGTGTACAAAAAGTCAAAGACCCAACAACCCAAGCAAAGTTCTTCAGGGCCACTATCCTTGTCTCGTTCTATTTGATGGCGGTTGGGTCATTCGTAAAAGAGGGAAAATTCATTTTTTAAAATTATTTAAATAACAGTGTTAGTATTTGAAGGAGGGAACAAAAGAAATAAAATTAGAGTGGGGTGAAAATTAATGGTGTATTAGTTCTATATTGGGTGATACCTGAATAGAGCTTGGTGGAGTTAGTTAAATAAGATTTTCAGGATAGCAGAATACCCTAAATAATGTGTGTGTGAAGGGGTATTTTAGAGAGAGGGAGGTGGGGAGGGGCAGAGGGAGAGGTAGAGAGAAATTCAGTCTGAGTTGCAGAGCCAGACTAGGGGCCTGATCCCAGGACCGTGAGATCGTGACCTGAGCTGAAACCAAGAGGCAGATGCCCAACTAACTGCGCTTCCCAGGCATCCCATCTCTAAATAATGTTTTAAGATTTTGTTTACTTATTTGAGAGAGCAAGAGAACGTGAATGCCGAAGTGGGAGGAGGAGCAGAGGGAGAGGAAGAAGCAGATTCCCCACTGAGCAGGGAGCCTGACATAGGGCTTGATCCCAGGACACTGAGATCATGACCTGAGCCAAAAGCAGACACTTAACTGACTGAGCCACCCAAGCGCCCCTAAGTAATGTTTTTTTTTTTTTTTTTTAAAGATTTTATTTATTTGAGAGAGAGAATGAGAGACAGCACGAGAGGGAAGAGGGTCAGAGGGAGAAGCAGACTCCCCGCTGAGCAGGGAGCCCGATGCGGGACTCGATCCCGGGACTCCAGGATCATGACCTGAGCCGAAGGCAGTGGCTTAACCAACTGAGCCACCCAGGCGCCCCCTAAGTAATGTTTTAAAGAAAGATAAAATATGGCTGAAAAGTATTATGTTAGGATATTAGGACACTTTGATATTACCTTCAGATATTGTAGATTGCATCAATAATCTCCCCTTCCCTGTTTACAGGTAGAAAAATAAACGTTATGGGTAGTGGCGAGAGTGTTTTGTAAGGAACATGGGAAGACTGGTGGCAGTGGAAGTTAATTCATATATGTACACACATAACTATATTGGACAAGTTATAAAAGAAAAGACCATGGTTCTTAGGTATAGCTAATCAAATCTTAAGTCCAAAAGGCTCCAGAGGTAATTTGTAGTACATTCTGGCTTTTTTTTTTTTTTTAAAGATTTTATTTATTTATTTGGGAGAGCACGAGAGGGAAGAGGGTCAGAGGGAGAAGCAGACTCCCTGCTGAGCAGGGAGCCCTATGTGGGACTTGATCCCAGGACTCCAGGATCATGACCTGAGCCGAAGGCAGTCGCTTAACCAACTGAGCCACCCAGGCGCCCACATTCTGGCTTTCTTGTTATTTAAAAAGAGGCTTTAGAAGGGAGGTGGTGTTTTAGCTTAAAAATCAGTGGAGAGATGAGTTTCTGAAATTAGTTGGCATTTTTGTATCTAGGTTGGTGTATTCATCTGGAGTGGTTGGGTATGATTTTACTTGAAAATGACAGTTGGCTTATTTTTCTAGGGTTTTGATGAGTACATGAACCTCGTATTAGATGATGCCGAAGAGATTCATTCTAAAACAAAGTCAAGAAAACAACTGGGTAAGAATATAGATGGCCTTTGGGAATTGTGGAAATTTTTATTCACTTGCAGAATTGAATGAGTTGCAACTCAGTTCATGTTTAAATTTAGTTTGCACTTGAGAATTTACTATGAGAGGGAGTAGTTCACTCTTGAAATTATCCTCTGCCACTTACAGCTAACCCCACTCCCATTTCTGCTTTTGTTTTTTCCACTCAGCTCTCACCAAGGTCACCAGAGACAAATGATGTTAAATCTAATGGTCACTGTTAGTCCTCATCAAACTCTGAACAGCATTTGGCACTGTTGGCCACTCCCACCTTAAAACACTTTGTTCCCTTGGCTCTGTGGTACTATACTCAGATTGTCACTTTTCATTTCTGTTTATTCCTTTTCAGACTTTTGTATATTCATTCTTTGAGACCCAGCCATTAAATGTTTTGAGTTGCTCGAGGCTTAGTTGTAGGTCCTTTTGTCATTTGGTCTTATTTACTAAGGCACTCAAGACTACCTTCAATTACCATCTACATATTGACCTCAGATTTACCTCTGTAGCCCTAGACCTATCTGAGCTTATTCAACATTTCTGCCTGAATGTCTCAAAGGCTTCTCAAAGTTAGCATGTCAGAAATCAAACTCACTTCCCACCCCTTACACACTCTTTTGGAGCTATTTTAGTGTTTCCTGCCTTACTGAATGGCACCAACCTCCATTCAGTTTACTGATTGATTTCTTTGTAACTACCTCATCCCCCTCCAGTTTGCTCTGCAGGCTGCAGTTATCTTTTAAAAGCACCAACCTGACCTCGTCGTCCTTTTACTTGAAATCCTTCAGTGACTTCCTGTTGCTAGGAGGATAAGAAAATCTTTAATGTATTCTGCAAGGTTCTTCATGATCTGGCCTTTTGTCCCTCTGCACGTTTTCTAGCACTCAGCTTCGTTTTCTGAGTTTCAGGGCAGTTCTAGTTAGAATTCTGATAAGTGATTATTGAGCATCTACTGTTAAACAGATACCAAGTCTAATAAATGCAGTGAAACAGACTGGCAAACAAATTGCTTCAGTTCCATGTGCTAAGTGCTATTTAAATTAGAACTTGAAAGATGAATAAGGCCCACCTTAAATTTTGGTAGTGGGCATTATTAAGGGTGGGTGAAGAGGGAACAAGAAGTCTAGTTCCTGCTTTTCCAAGTGCCTGTGAAGGAGATGGAGAACTTTCATTCAAAATAAGTAAAAGAAACCCTTCATGAGATAGAGGAGTTGTGTTCATTGTGTTCTTTCAGTTCTTTGAATCTGCACATTTACCCCACTGTAAATCTTTGTATATGCTGTTTCCTATGTCTTTAGGACTCAAATGTCAAATATCAGGGTTTGGTTTGGTTTTACTGGGGTAGGGATTGGGGAGGCAGGGTGTGCTGTGTTCTCTGAATTTATAGTAAAACACTCACTAGTGGGGTTATTTTATTAATGTCTCTTGTCACTGGGCCAGTTGCTCCTCTAAGTTCTGTCTTTTTTTGCTCTCTAATAAGCCTACTGCCTAATTCAGTGCCTGCCATGTAGTAGAAACTCAAAAATATTTAAATAATGAATGCAGTTTCTTAACCCAGTTAACAAAGTGTCTTTAGGATTCATGACTTCAACAAGACAAACTGAGTCCTTTCTTTTAAAATCCTATTCATTTGAAGTTTATTAGATACTTTGTTTTTAATTGTTTAATGCGCCAGTTCACAGGTCACTAGTACTTTTATCTGTGGTAGGCTTCAGGTGCCTCTTTTTTCAAAACCCTGAGGATTCTCTTGATCCTAAAGTAGATATGTGGAAAGTAGAATCTGAGAAGTGGTATGGTGTTTTGCTGTGCTTCTTTCTGCTTAGGCTATTTTTGTGAAAGCTTGGATTTTCACATTTAAACTTGTCTTGGGCGCCTGGGTGGCTCAGTCGGTTAAGCGACTGCCTTCTGCGCAGGTCATGATCCTGGAGTCCCTGGATCGAGTCCCGCATCGGGCTCCCTGCTTGGCAGGGAGTCTGCTTCTCCCTCTGACCCTTCCCCCTCTCATGTGCTCTCTCTCTCTCTCTCTCTCTCTCTCATTCTCACTCTCTCAAAATAAATAAATCTTTTAAAAAGAAACTTGTCTTGACAGGAAGGGCAAACTAGCCTTATTGACATTCTATTATTTATAAATTATTTGCAGTGTTGAATTCCCATGGTAGTATTTATCCTATAGAATAGATTAATATTACCTGTTGCAGAAGTCTCGGGAAGTGAAACCATTTAATCTGTTGGGGTTGATGAGCATTTCTCAAACTAACTTTATATTTAATATAAATATTAAAAAATATTTATGGACATTCTCAGGAAAAAAGTATTCTCTGCTCATGTAAGATTAGGAAATGTTGGGTAAAGCTCAAACAGGTTTATTAATTGCAGGATGGAGTCTTTAATGTACTGAGAACTCTAAGAATGGTGCTGCAGTATGCTGCATTTTTTTAAACTTGATAGATAATCTCTTCCCCAACTTCCACAAACTCAGAACAGTGGGATATGTTGGGGTAGATCTATTCATTTGACTTAGTCTATAGAAACTCTTTTTCATAAAATAACATTTCTCTTCCTTCATTAGGTTATTGCTGGAAAAGTTCATAGGCTCTAATATGCACAGCCTTTCAATATATGGATATTTGAAAATCTTCACATACTTGCTCAAGAGAGAAGGCATTTTCAAAATTGCTTAAATAGGATCTAAAATTCTGAGGCTAAAGTGGTTACACACTTGTCTGAATGGCTATTAATAGCTTTTTTTTTCTTTTTTTAATTCTGTGTTGCAGGTCGGATCATGCTAAAAGGAGATAATATTACCCTGCTCCAGAGTGTCTCCAACTAGAAATAATCAGTGAAGTGAGAAATTCTTGAGAAGGCCATGTAGTTTGTTTTTTTAGGTGTCCTTTGTTGTGAGTGTAGTTCTAAAACATTTGTTCGTATTGTTTTGATTACCTTTATGTTATTACCAGAGGACAATAAATGCTGTGGAATTGCTTTTATTTAAAAATTTACATTGTTTTTTCTGTCCAGTGGTAGAGACCGTTCACTCAGTGGCAGCTAAGTTTTCTGGAGGGTGGCAGTTGTCCTGGGCATTTGTTTTTTTCCAGAACCTGGATGTATAGATTCTTTATGGCAAAGAGTAGGAATTCTACCTCACAGGTAAGCTCCTGATACTGGGTGGTAGAGAAGAGGTTACTGCACTAATACGTGCCTTCAGCAGCAGTTCTCATTCCGGCTGCTGGGACACGAGCTTCTGACCACAGTAGGCTGGACGTGCTATATCAGCTTCCGTTTCTGCTTAGCACTCTCACAGTCACTCTCTGAGGTCTCTGTGACTTCTTGTACCACTAAGATGACACTGTGATAAGTGTTTGGGTATAAGCAAAGAATGAAGTGCCCTAAAAGTACATGTAAAATGAGTTCTGTTAACAGTTACCAAAATGGAGACTTGGTGAGATTGGTAATCTGAAAAAGACCACAAGCAGTGCTGCTAAATTGTTAGGCAGAATAATAGTATGTTAGTTGGAGCAATACCTGCAACACCTCCCTCTTATTCTTAATCTAAAGATGTTGGTGCCTCCCCCAGTAATTGCTTATGTCATAATTGAATTATGTGAACAAATCTTCCCCAGTTCCTTAGGGTGGTTCTAGTTTGGGGTGCCTGGCTAGCTCAGTCGGTAGAATGTGCGACTCTTGATCTTGGGGTCATGAGTTTGAGCCCCATATTGGGTTGTAGGGATTACTTACATAAACTTTAAAAAAAGATCTCAGGGCAGTTGTAGTTAGAATTCTGATAAGTAAAAAAAAAAAAAAAAAAAGAGTTCTGATAAGTGATTATTGAGTATCTGCTGTTAAATAGGTACCAAGTCTAATAAATGCAGTGAAACAGACTGGCAAACAAATTGCTTTAGTTCCATGTGCTAAGTGCTATTTAAATTAGAGCTTGAGGGCGCCTGGGTGGCTCAGTTGGTTAAGCGACTGCCTTCGGCTCAGGTCATGATCCCGGAGTCCTGGGATCGAGTCCCACATCAGGCTCCCGGCTCAGCGGGGAGCCTGCTTCTCCCTCTGACCTTCTCCCCTCTCATACTGTTTCTCTCTCTCTCTCTCTCTCAAATAAATAAATAAAATCTTTAAATTAGAGCTTGAAAGATGAATAAGGCCTGCCTTAAATTTTGGTAGTGGGCATTATTAAGGGTGGGTGAAGAGGGAACAAGAAGTCTAGTTCCTGCTTTTCCAAGTGCCTGTGAGGGAGATGGAGAACTTTCATTTAAACTAAGTAAAAGAAACCCTTCATGAGATAGAGGAGACTTGTAGGTAAGTGTAGAAATTCATCCAGCTCAGAAGTTGGCATTCTAGCTGTTCCTCTCCTATTTGAACCTGTGCCTTTCTGGTCACATTTTGGAAATAAAGGGCTGCTTTAGCTCTTTTAACGTAGTTGAGTTTGAAATGCATTGAACTTGCTACAGCATGCAAAGAAAACCTTGGGCAGCAGAGGGAGTTGCAGCCCTGGACTGCTTTAGCCTTTCCCAGTAAAAGCTTTTTCAGAGCAGAGACCTCCCTGTAGCTTTCTTGGCACCAAAATAGCTGGGAAGAAGGATAAAAGCTGGAGCAGTATAATCCCTAAGAAAACCTGCTGGCTGCTTTTCCATTTCCCTGTGTGGCCTTTTTGACCTGGCTGCCCTGTGTAAGCAAAGCTGTGCCTGCTGTGGCTTATTCTGAATGGATCAAGACATGGAAAGTTCTATTTTTGACAGAGCAAACGATGATAGAAATAAGGTACAGTGAACTCTTACAATTGAGCTCTGTATTTAGAAATCTCTGCTTGCTTTCCTGCCTTACTGGAGCCTGTGGTGTTTGCTTTTTAAGTTGTACTTTTCCACAATCTGTAGATCTTTTTTCCAACCAGAATTTGTATTATAGGAGGCGTTGCTCTCTGCTTCATTAAGGTTATTAAAACATGCTGCTGGGAAGCTGCTCTTGTTGGCAGCCCTTGGTATGTGAGCAATTATTTTTCTGGAATGGCTGTTTTTCTGAGGGGGTCTTGCTAACCACCCACTAACTCTCTTGTAACATTCTTGAAGTGGGGGTGGGAGGAGAATAAGGCTCTGAAAAAGTAAAGTGCTGGTGCAGGCCTGGTGTTTTAGTAGTAGTAGGTAGGAAGAAGAAGGGTAAGAATAGTTGGAAAACCCTAGGATTTTGTATTTGCAGGCACCAGCTGTTGTCATTGTATCACTTTTGTCAGTTTCAGGATTAGAGAGTGGATCTTCGTCTAATTTGAATTTAGGCATTATTGGCTAGTAAGTGTCTTGGGCAGTTCCTGGGGTAAAGCCTAATAGGCAGCATCTCCTCTAAACTGGATGACACCAGGAGCTTTTCCTTAATTAATTACTCCTTTTAGAACTAATCGTAATAACCTACTCATGGTGTGCTTTTGTGAGGAGATATGGTTGGTAACTCTTCTTAAAAAGTGGCATTAGAACTTAAGTCTAGGGCGCCTGGGTGGCTCAGTTGGTTAAGCGACTGCCTTCGGCTCAGGTCATGATCCCAGAGTCCCAGGATCGAGTCCCGCATCAGGCTCCCTGCTCAGCAGGGAGTCTGCTTCTCCCTCTGACCCAACCCCCTCTCATGCTCTCTCTCTCTCTCTCTCTCTCTCTCTCATTCTCTCTTTCAAATAAATAAAATCTTAAAAAAAAAAATTTAGAACTTAAGTCTAGGGGCGCCTGGGTGGCTCAGTCGTCTGCCTTCGGCTCAGGTCATGATGCCATGGTCCTGGGATCGAGCCCCACATTGGGCTCCCTGTTCCGCAGGAAGCCTGCTTCTCCCTCTGCCACTCCCCCTGCTTGTGTTCCCTCTCCCTCTGTGTCTGTCTCTGTCAAATAAATAAAAAATCTTAAAAAAAAAAAAAACTTAAGTCTATTGTACCTAGAGTTTAAATTTTATCCACTAAACTTTTTTTAAAGATTTTATTTATTTATTTGACAGAGCAGGGGAGAGAGCAAGAGAAAGCACAAGCAGGGGGAGTGGGAGAGGGAGAAGCAGACTCCCCACTGAGCAGGGAGCCCGATGCGGGGCTTGATCTCAGGACCCTGGCATCATGACATGAGCCAAAGGCAGACGCTTAACGACTGAGCCATCCAGGCTCTGTCCCCTATCCACTAAACTTTTTAAAAATTGAATTTAGAAATCCTAGCTTAGTGTATGCTTTTTTTTTAAGATTTATTTGAGAGAGAGAGAACACCAGTGGGGAGACGGGAGGGAGAGAGAATCTCAAGCAGACTCCCACTGAGCATGGAGCCTGACCCATGAGATCATGACCTGAGCCAAAATCTTGAGTCAGATGCTTAACTGACTGAGCCACCCAGGCGCCCCACTTAGTGCATGCTTATAATTAAAATGCCAGTAGTACAGAAAGATGTAAAGTAAAAAAACAGAAGTCCTTCTTTTCCCCATCAGTATTCTCCATATATAACTATCAGGAGTTAGGCCGTTAATCTTCTAAGCTCTTCACAGATATATATAATTTGGTTTGTTTCTCAATTTGATATTTTTATTTAAAATTTTTTTAGTTTCAGGGTGCCTGGGTGGCTCAGTTGGGAAAGCAAGTGCCTTCGGCTCAGGTCATGATTCTGGAGTCCCAGGATCGAGTCCCACATCGGGCTCCCTGCTGAGCAGGGAGTCTGCTTCTCCCTCTGACCCTCTTCCCTCTCATGCTCTCTATCTCTCATTCTCTCTCTCTCAAATAAATAAATAAAATCTTAAAAAAAAAATAAAATTTTTTTAATTTCAGTCTTTGGTAAAATTGTAAAGTACATTCACATTGTTGTGCAAACAGTCTGTAGCACTTTTTTATCTTGCAGAATTGAAACTACCCATTCAACAACTTCCCAACCCTTCCCAGCCCCTGGCAAACGTTCTATTTTCTGTTTCTATGAGTTTGATCTAGATACCTCATATAAATGGAACCATAAAATATTTGTCTTTTTGTGATGGACTGTTTTCACTTAGCATAATGTTCTCATGGTTCATCCATGTTGTAGACTGTCATAATTTCTTTCCTCTCTTTTTAAGGCTGAATAATATTGTATGTTTATAAAACACATTTTGTTTATGCATTGAACTGTCAGTAGATATTTGGGTTACCTTCACCTGTTGGCTGTCATGAGTAATGCACCTTAAGACCCTGTTTTCAATTCTTTTGAGTATATACCCAAATATTTTTTGTTTTGTTTTGTTTTGTTTTTAAGAGGTGGGGGACGGGTAGAGAGAGGAAGAGAGACAATCTTAAGCAGGCTCCAGGCCCAGTGCAGAGCTTGACATGGCGCTCAGTCTCACAACACTGAGATCATGGCCTGAGCAGAAATCAAATCAGATGCTTAACTGGAGCCACCCAGGTGCCTGACCCCAAAAAGGTTTTTTTGAGGAACTGTCTTACCGTTTCTATGAACATGGGTATACAAATACCTCATCGAAACCCTACTTTCAGTTTTTTTGAGAGCATATACCCGAAGTCTTTTTGAGGAACCATCATAGAGTTTTCCACAGTAGCTACACCATTCTACATTCTCATCAATAGTGCACAAGGGTTCCAGTTTCTCTATATCCTTGGCAAAACTTATTTTCTACTTTTTTTTTTTAAGATTATTAATTGATTTGACAGAGAGATAGCAAGAGCAGGAACACAAGCAGGGGGAGTGGTAGAGGGAGAAGCAGCCTTCCCGCCAAGCAGGGAGCCTGACACAGGGCTTGATCCCAGGGCCCTGGGATCACGACCGGAGCCAAAGGCAGACGCTCAATGACTGAGCCACCCAGGCGCCCTTGTTTTCTACTTTTGATAGCAGCTATCCCAGTGGTTTTGAGGTGATATCCCATTGTGGTTTTGATTTGCATTTCCATAATGGTTAGTGGTGGTAAATGTCTCTTGATACGTTTATTGATCATTTATTTTCTTTGAAGAAATGTCTCAGCCCTTTGCCCATTTTGAAACAGGTTACTTTTTTGTTAAGCTGAAGGA